AGAGGTGCCACCGGGCCGGGCCGGGCCGGGGGACACAGCAGAAAAGGCTCCACTGGACCCCACAGTGTGGTCTCTGGGGAACAGCTGAGGTCACCCAGGTCCTCCAGAGAGACTCGTTTTTAAACTCTGAATTCAGAGTCAGAGGCACAACCTCCGACTTCGGGGGAGAGGCGCTGCCGGGTGTGACATGAGGGCAGAGCCGCTGCCCGGGCGCCGTGCGGGCCCTCCTCTAACCTGGAGGGCAGCTCGGACACTGAAGTGGCCACACCACCAGGAGGCCACAGCCAGGGGCCCTGGTGACAGCTGACGGGCAGAGGGGAGATGCTGGCTCAGGGCCGAGCCACAGCTGAAGTGGCTGAGGTCCCACTGGCGCCTGCACCCTCGTCTCCTGCACAGCCAGACCGTGATCGCTGCCGAGTGGACGAAGGGACAACTTTCCGGAAACAAGCATGGCTAATGTCCCCAAGAGGTGACGGCAGAGAAGCCGGAGTTTGGCAGTAACGGAAGCTTCTCCATGCCCGGCCGTGCAGCAGGACAGAAATGTCCTCAAAGATTCAGCAGACTGAGGGGAACAGACTGAACATGACGTCGCAGGGCCGTGCATTCGGCTGTGGACTGAACTCGCCATGGTCGGGCTCTGCAGGCCCTGGGCCGAGCACCGGCCGGTGGGCACTGGAACACAGGAGTGGGGGTGCGCACAGGGCCTCACCCCGAACCAAGGAAACGCAGCGCTGAAGAGAAGTGAGAGCTGATGTGCTGCAAGGGGAGCGGGGGGCGGGGGGATTCAGGTGACTCCTGCTTGTCTGTGTTGAGGACCTCGCATCTGTGACACTCCTGAGTGGACCACAGGAGCCGGAGATGCCTGGTTTCAGCGGAGCCAGCAGGGTAGCTCAGTGGACGATGAGTTCCTGGTGGCCCCGGAGCACACACCAGGACTCATCTGGGGAAGTGTGTTTCCTGGAGCTTGGTTACAGATAAAAACCCTGCCGCCCACTTTCCTTTGCCTTCAGTTCTGAGCTGTGTGCATGTTATGGGTGTGTTAATTTTTCATTTGAAATGGGCCCATTGTGGCTTACACTTGTCCTCTCAAAGACGTCCTTGGAAAGGAAGCCGCCAGCCACCGTCCCGGAGCCCCCAGGTCAGCAGGCAGCACGCCCGCGCGTGGACCGAGGCACCTGAGCCGTCACTGGGCAGAGCTGCCCTGGGCCAGTCCAGTCGAGACTGAAGGCGAAGCAGTGCTCATGGGAGACCCTGTGTTGAGGGTCAAATCCAGCTGCTGGCAGCCTCTGTGCCCATTACACAGAGGACAGAGGGCCCCTCCTGCCGTGGCAAGGCCCTGGGGCTCTGCGCTACCTGACCAGGGAGGACCAGAGGACAGAAGCCCCCCGAAGGCTCGGGCCACCTCTGGGCCACCCCGTGCTCACTGGCACGCATGCTGTTATAACTGCCGTGGAAACTGCTCAGACTTGTGCGTTCACCAGCCACGATCGGCGTGCCTCACACACCGGGAAATCTCCATGAGATGTAAACATGACCTTTTCTCATTTGGAAAAAAGTCAGCAGACTGATTTCCACATATTCCTCTTGCATGGCTTCTGATCTGGTTTAATGCACGGGCCTGGCCTGGAAATCTTCACCAGGGCTTCAGTTGGGGTCCTAGGCGCCCCTCTCTGACTCCAGCTCGGGAACCCATGCTCGGAAGGGCTTGTCTTTCTAGCTTCCCCAACAGAGAGCAGGCCGGCCGGGGCCCTGCGCGTTCTCCTTTATCTGCAGGAGTGAGAGTTAGGACAAGTGTCATCTGAGCCCACGCAGTCCCTACCATCTCGGGGACTTGCCTCTCTAGGGGACAAGGCCCACGTCCACTCAGCTTCCTGCACAGAAGAGGAGGCACTCGGGAAGTGTTCTGTGGACTGTCCTGTCTCCAGTTTCGGACACCACCTTCCAGTGTGGTCTGAACTAATGCGGACGGCCGGGCAGCCAGGGCGGACAGCAGGATTCACACTAACCTGTGACTCCAGCCCAACTTTGATGAGTTAGTTTTGAGACCTTTATACCTGTTTAAAACGAAGACTGCCCTTGCTGGTGTGGCGAAGTAGTTAGAGCATTGGCCCACTCACTGGAGGGTCTCAGGTTCGATTCTCGGTCAAGAGCACGCACCTGGGTTGCAGGTTTGACACTGGGCGTGTGTGCAGGAGGCAACCAATCAGTGTCTCTCTCTCACATCGATGTTTGTTTCTCTCTCCTCCCACCACCTGCCTCCCTCCCTTCCACTCTAAAAATCAATGGGAAAAAATGTCCTTGAGTGAGGATAACAAAAAAATTAATACAAAATAAAAATAAAATAAAACTAAGAGACCCCCGAGCTCCAAATTCCCTCTTCCAGTGGTGGTTTCCCGGTGAAAATACTTTTCTGTATGTTACAATAAATTGCAGCTAAACACTGGGAGGTTTCCGCATGTATCATTTACCCAGAAATGTCTTGGGGACCCTTGGCCTGCCCCTGGGTGCGCTCCCCTAAGGTCTGAGCCATGGGCAGTACCCAGATGCTGGCACCAATCAGCGTCTCCTCTCCTGGACAGGGGTCGGGGTGGTGACGGCCACAGCCTGTCATCAGACTGCTCTTATTTAAGAGACACACATGTCTGGAATACAGGTTGTTTTCAGATCTAAAGCATTAAGGAAACAGGCTCTGGCCACGTAGCTCAGCTGGTTAGAGCATTGTCCTGATACACCAAAGTTTCAGGTTCAATCGCTGGTCAGGGCACATACAGGAATCAACCGTGAATGCATAAATAAGCGGAACAACAATCAATGTTTCTCTCTCTCCTCCTCCTTTTCTCTCTCAAATCAATAAATCAAAATAAATCGTTCACCTTATATTTTTACTGGACAAGGGCTTTGACCTGTGGTAAAGGTGAGAAATATACTTTTCATACAGTTGATTACATATACTTTCTACATTTTTAGCAAAAGGAACTGTTTTCTCCAAACACTTAGAAGAGTTAGTGAGAAGACAAATCACATTGAAGAACATGATCTATTTAAACTCACTCTTTATTATCATGTTTTTTTTCCAGTTGCCCAGCATGCTACAATCTGATTGCTGACCTGGATGAAACAGAGCGAAACAAATGATTTACAAAGAGAGATCTACATTCATCTGATTTGTACGTAATACGCCACAGTGCTCGGCGGCTTTCCCGCCGGACACTGCCTCGCTGCAGGGCCGCGTCATTGCCACGCGTGTTCCCAAGCATCCCCGCACGATGGGTGGGCTGGAGCTGGAGTCGGACAGAGACGAGACCTCCTGGGGTAGGTTTGCAGAAATGGCTTGAAGTCACTGTGTCTTTAAATCTGCTCATTTGTATACTATGTTACACATACGAATGTCAATAAACGAACTTCTGAAAGACTTGAATTGTAATGTTTACTTTCTACCTTGTAGTGATGAACAAAACACACCAAAAAGGCACATATTTTAACTAGGCCAAAGGGTATTGAGGACCATACTTTCCCCTCCCATCCATGTCTCTCTCCCTCTTCACGATCTACGTATCACCCTGCGACGTTGCCTTTCATCCACGTCCCGCAAGACCCTGCTAACCCTCATCCTGCTCATCTCGCACAGTCGGGATCCCAGGAAGCACGAGGCATCGTCCCCTCCTCTGCTAACGACAGACAGACAGACAGGCATCTCTGGCTCGGTGCTGTTAGGGTTCTTCTCCAAGATGCAGAATTTGAGAGGAGCCTGGACACGAGCTAAGTGAAATCACAACATTCCTTGGAGTTCTATCCAATCTCCGTGCACAGGCCATTATGTTAGTTTCAAATAGTATTTCCACTAGACACAGTTAAGCCCTCAAATGCGTAAATAAACATGGGCACTGAAATGTTGTGTTGTCTCTGAAGATGCCAACGAGATGCTGAAGGCAGGGCGGCTGCAGGGACAAGTCCCCAGCCTCACTGCTCCCCCAGGACAGCGACCTGCCACCATGGCCTCTCAGAGTCCACACAGGTTGGGCTTTGGAGGCGGTGGGGATGATGCTCACGCCAAGACCACTCGAGTCTCTAGAGCATGAAAAGGTTCAAGCCTGAAAGAGTAGAACTTCGATTCAGAGTCAGAAGTGTTTGATTCCGTCAAATGTGCTCGACATAAAGGCTGTTACAGAAGATATGTTCATTGTCCCTAATTCTGGTTTAGGAATACAGTAAATAAATTATACAATATTCTAAAAATAGCACCTTTAAAGAATTATAGAGGTCACTTTATTTTAGCCTCCTGGACCGCCAACCCCAGTGGTTTTGAGAGCAGAGCATAGGTGAGGGTACCCCCGAGTCTGGCGTGCGAGGCACGCACGCGCCCGACCAGCTGTGGTCCCAAGGCCGTCCCTCTGGCTGGTGGCGTCACAGGAGCAAAGCCCGGGTTCCACACAGGAGGCTTATGAGGTAAAATCAGAAAAAGGCCCCATCCAAAACGACTCCAGGTAAATCAGCTGTAGTCCAACCATCCTACACATCTATTCCCCATGTCTAAGTTTAATTTGCCATCAAGTTCTAAAAATATATTCTCAGAAAGGAAGTATGCAGAGCCACACATGACCAGGAAGACGTTACCGATGAGCTGCACACCTTAAGAGTTCTGGGTCCGAACCGTCTGGTGTGAAGGTGATTGGGGTCTCACAGATCTGCAGGAGACCTACGCCCCTGGCTTCACAGGTCTGTCCTACCCCCGTGCTGGGGGCTCAGCGTCTCCCCTGTGGACACAGCCCTTCATCCCGGTTTGTACAAGGGCACCACTGCCATTTTATTAAAATCATAAGATAATCCCATGTGTGTTTTGAGCTACAAGAAATTTACATAGTTGCCTGTCACATTTTTTTTTTTTTTACAGGGTAGGTTAATACCAGGTGAAGCTATTAAAAATCTTTTTACTTTCAGAAAAGAATAGTCTTTAATTTTCTGCGATTCCAGAGCCACGTCCAACAACAACAAACAAGAAATAGCAGATTGACACAGAGCTTTATTTAAGCTGTCTGTACGAAGGGAGGGAACGGGCACCCCATCAGATACGTGTAAAAATACTAAGGATGTACAGTGTACAAAAACAGTTTCTGTCGTTATTTCACATCCTTGTGGGTCATATACTTGAGGAAATAAACAGTTTTAGTATGACCAACAGTAATAGTAATACAGTTTCTTGGGTTCATAGTTGCGTCTGCTTAAAATCCTTAACCAGATGACTAGATCTCGTGTGGATCTAATGAAAGAACTAGCAAGGTCAAGAAACTATAAAGCTACAGGGAGGTAATTCAATTACCAATTCAGAGGTTTTCTTTTTATTTAAATAAATACTTTACATTCCATGCTCGCCTGTAATGCACTACCAGGAGCCAGATGAGGAGTCTACTGGGACAGTACAAACAGTAGCAGCAAAGTGTGTACACTGAGGTGTGATATGCAGACCTGCAGCTAGGAAGGAAGGCCCACTCGTGTCCCCGAGGAGGAGCAAGGGGCCCTCGCGAGAACAGTCAGCTTTAAGAAGCCGGAAATCAGGTAGGGCAATGGAAGAGAGGACCGGGACAACACTACGGAGTTAGTGAGGAAAGCAAAGCCGTGAGCAACCCTGCCAGCACTCCACGCAGAAACGGCCAAGCGCCTTCAAGACAGCCAAGGCCAGCGCGCAGCTGGAGCGGAGTCCGCCCCCTCTGCCCTGCGTGCTGATCGGGCCATCCCGGGGTGCAGGCCTCTCCACCTGCCGAACCCGCACTACCGCTGCAGGCAGACACGGGGAGTTTTAGGGATCCCCTCCAATGCACTGCTGTCAGCCTCCACGCCAGCTGACTGCCACCTGGGACAGGACGGGATGAGTCCCGAAACCGAAGCCAAGAAAACACCTGGTGTGACTCTACCGGAGCCCTGGGGGTGAGAGGCGGCGCCCGAGCGCAGGCTGGGGACTCAGCGCAGCTGTAGGAGCGGCCAGCCTGGGGCACTGTCTCTGCTGCCATCCGTCTCCAGGATGCATCCTTGGCCAAGGTCATGGAAATCACCTTGAGGTTTGGAAAGCAAACACACAAACAAGAAAGCTACAGATGTGCTCAGTGTCTGGAGTCACACCTCCCGCTGGAACCCGTGCCGGGAGCAGCCCGTCCAGCTCTCTCCTCCTCTCACCTGTTTCCTTCATCAAATGGATGCAAGACAACTGACAAGACATACCCTCCGTCTACATTCTCGTCAATGTGAAACACTCCACGTCCTTCCGAGTGAACAAAACAAGCTGAGCAATGTGTGAGTGAGTGAACTACCACCTATGCACCTTCCTGCTCGCCTCTGAAGGTGAACTTCGCTCGGGCAGAAATAGGAAACATTAGGGTGAAATCTAGGTCTGAGTGTGTCTTAGCTGCCTCAGTAAAATGCCCTGTAGCCCCCGCAGTCCAGTGGCCCAGCCACTGCCAGCAGTGATTTGTCTAAGTCCACGCTATCGCGTCGAGAGGCTAAGACATCTGCATTGGGTATGATCATCCTGCTCAAGGTCACTTGCTCTGCCGTCCCACGCGGCCACGACACCACGTCACACCGTGGTCTTCCGTTGGGAGCTGTCGGTTATTTACCTAAAGTACGTCTCCACATCACTCCGCGGAGCCGCCCCCTGGGTTTCACAGGCTGCTTTGGAAAATGTCAGCTCCTAGCACCAAAGGTTTAATCTGAAGATCGTCATCAGTGAAGGAGAAAGATGAGGTCTGCATACATGTCCCCTTTCAGTGAGAAATGTTGGAACTTGGGGACATGAGTATATACAGAAAAAGAAAAGTTGGAGGTGTTCTTTTTTTGTTTCGTTTTGTTTCCCTGATGGCTTAATTCAGTGATAAATGTACCAGAATCAGAATAAACACACCAGGTTCTCATCTTGCACTAAATACTTGAGATGTGTTCATTTTGCTAAGTAGGTTCATTTATCATCCCTCAGGTCTCAATTTTCCTCATTTCATTATGTTGCCGTCAGAACACCTCAATTCTCAAATGAGCAAACATCAACACCCATGTGTTTCATTAACCCCTTGGCATGGGTACTTAGGGATTTTCTCATTTTAGCACCAAGGGGTTAGAAGACAGCATATCTTCTCCCAAAACCAAATTCTAACCACTATGTACAATTTCAGAGCCTCATCAGAATGTTTTCACAAAGGAGAAAAAGTGCATGAATCTCGGCGGCGTGTACATTCCTTGCACGTGGGTCACAATAAACTGCAGTGCGTCTATTTTATGTAAGTTGGCGCTGCATTTGCTGACATGACATACAATTCTCATCACTAAAAAATAAATACTACTGCAATATAAACAAAATCGTAAAAGGACATTCAACGTTTTAACATCCGAGAAAAAGCTAACTCACGTAGAACTGAAATGAAAAATTAAAACAAGTATGGCAAACACCTGTTCACCTTGGTGTACAAATTTTGGTGAAAAGCAGATCATTATACCTGTCTACATTCTTCAGCCATCAGAGGCGATAAACATTATAATGGAAAAAAAGATTTCCAAGCACAGGGAAAAAAATGCTCTCTGGTGCAGATCCTATCACAGACCTTGAAATGACCTTGACTCAGCTGTGCATATGCTTCCTTCCTCGTAGGGCGATGTCCCTTTGCCCACGACTGCCCGTGAGGTCTAGATGTCCAAGTGTAACACCAGCTTCCTCTGCAGGATCCAACAGGAATTTACACACATATATTGAGATAGATACACACCTCAACAGTTCAGTCCTTCGGAAACGCTTCCTAGTGAACTCCAGCCAGATCCGGGGGAGACGGGCCCACCCTGCGCACGGACCTGACGCGTCACTGAAATCTGCATACGCACATCCCCGCCCTTCCACAACTGCTTGTTCTGAGTTATAAACCAAATCTTCTTAGTCTAATTAGTTTTAGATTTATCTTCTAGAAAGTTAAAAAATGTACCTAGAATCAGTGTATCTCATTTATCCTTCACTGTTAGAGAAAAACAGAAACTGAAAGATCAGAAGATGAGAAACTGGTGCACAGATGAACCATGGTGGGCTCATGACTTCCCAAGATTGTAAAATCACCTCTTAAAGTTGCTATAATAGTAAGACAGTAGCAGCAACAGCATGAGACCTTAGACTGAGATACAATTTCATGCAAAACAAAAAGTCGAGTGTATCTGCGTGTATGTGTGTTCTCGGGTGTGTGAGAGGTGGCGGGGTGAAGACCTGGGGTCGGTCTGGGATGTCTGCAGGCGCCCTGCTGTCCGTGAGAGCCGGGGCTGGTCTGCTGTCCGGGAGCCGTGTTCGGGAACAAGTCTGGGTGGCGGAGAAGCAGCGAGTGAGACTATTCGCGCCCACTGGCGGAGTAGGAGAACTGCGGGAAGTGCGGCCGCCGCTCGTTGTCCATGCCGTCCATGCCGTCCTCGTCATCTGCGGAGGGAACAGCCCTTTCAGTGTCACAGTTGTTTCTGGCAACACGACTCTGCTCTGCATAGTTGCGAGGTCCCACATAATGAAGCTTACCCCAGGCAACTGCTCCTGGAAACTTTTTTGATCAATGAAACATGCAGCCGCTAAACTTATTTTAACATTCTCTCATTTCTGAACACGTGATCTATGAAGAACTAATACTATCCAATCATCACCTTCAAGACACATTTTCAGACTCAATAAACTGAAAAAACCACGGGAGAAAACAAAATTTTAAAAATTAGAACAATCACCCTGGCCGGTTTGGCTCAGCGGTTAGAGTGTCGGCCTGCGGTCCAGAGAGACCCAGGTTCGGTTCCCGCTAAGGGCACGTACCTCGGTTGCAGTTTGTCCCCGGCCCTGGTTAGGGCTGTGCGGGTGGCAGCCACTCAATGTGTCCCTTTCACGTCGATGTTTCTCTCTCTCTCCCTCCCTCCCACTCTATCTGAACAACAACAACAAAAAATTAGAACAATCTTGAATATCCTTCAGTTGCATGAGACCGCGTGTCAAAGTGACGGCCGTCAGCCTCTGAGCACCCGAGCCACCCGCCTGGAACCCGGCACCAGTGTCTTCGAACGCCGGTGACTATTCCTTGTGGTACTTTAAGTGTGACGGGCAAATAAAGCTTCCTAGGGTTCATTTCATCTGAGTCCGTGGGTACATGTTTAGCATTTTACATGTATTCTACATCTCAGATCTGCCTTAACTTATCATTCCCAGTTCTCCCACAATAAAATTTGGAACCAGAATGAAGAGGAGACAGAGGGAAAGATGTCGGCATCTATGCGCTAGTTCACCAGGGAGCAGACGGAGAAGAAGCTGAGGACAGGCTGTTGACATTTAGGCGACTGCTCCCTCTTGTTTCTCCTCCTGTCCTGTGTTTGGATGACGACAAATGAGCACCCGATCTCCTCCCATCACAGCTGTGACCATGAGCACCGTCGGGACACGCCCTGACCCACAGTATCCCCTGTGCTTCTGCTCTGGGCAGAGACCCTGCGGCCCCCAGCCCCGGCTCGCTGCCTGCGGGGAGGCTCCCCCCTGACACCTCGGCGTTCGATCGCAGGCTGACCTGCGTGCAGAGAAGCGAGGGGATCTTCCAGCAGCACCGTCCCATTTCCTCTGATACATACACGTGCAAGACCAATTCTTTCCACGTCCAGCCCCTCCAGGGGGCATCCATTTCGTTAACGGGGGAAGGAGCACGGCCAGATCCCGCTGTTCCCACGGGCTCTGATGCTCTGCGTCCCTCTGGGGAACAAGGAACTTTCCTGCCCTTCTGTCCTGTTCTTCTCCTCTGTCTTCTACCTTCACACAGAAGTCTCCAGAAACAGGATCATGTTGCTAACCAGAATGTGTGGCCTTGAATGTACCAGAAAATACCACTGTATTTGGTGGGAAGAGCCCATCGGGAAGCTTTGTTCTGCTCCCTGCACACCTCTCCCCCTTTAACCTGACATCTCAGTGACACTGCGACTGAGGGCCCCTCTGCCTCCTGACACATGCTGGCCGGCACCAAGCGGACCACGTGCATCCTGAGATGGGCCACTTCCCACGGTGCTTTCAGACCCACGGATGACGCAGGAGCTGCAGACCGCGTGCCTGTCCCTGAGCCACCCAGTAGAAACTCTCTAGAGAAAAGGCAGCTGAAATCTCAATGCTCCGATTCTGACATGTGCCAATCATGTTTCAAAAAATCAGTTTTCCCCATTAGCAACTCTGTTTTGCTGGGTGTGTCTCTGCACAGTAAACAAATTAGACGCATTTCTGAATGCAAAGAGAGCTAAGCCTTGTCCGCAACCACGCGAGGGCCCCACACCTCCATCTTCTTTAAAGCCAGTATGTCCCTCCTGATCTTTCACGCTTGGTCAGAGCGAGGGCTGTGGGCCTGAAAGGCAGCCATGTGGGGTCTCTGGGCGTCCGGAGCTGCAGGCAGGTGGGGCTCAGGGGGGGGGGGCTAGAAGCAAGTGGCAGCCACGCAGCTGACTGCCCCCAGAGCCCTCCACGCCCACCCACGCCCATCCACGCCCACCCACGCTACCAATACCTGCTGTTCAGAGAGGAGGCTCGCAGGGAGCAAGGGTGATAATGAACGCGAGCCAGGCTACAAAAACCCCAAAACGCACCCATCTGGACAAAGACCACAGAAGGCTCGATGCACGCCCCACGCCTGCGCCCCTGCCTCCCCAGCATCAGGGGCCCCGTCCTCTGAGAACACCGAACCAGTGTATCATGCGGCAGGCGAGGCCACGGGAGCGCACAGAAACCCTCCTCTCTGCACAAGGAAGGCAGAGCACCAGCAATGCATCTAATGCAAGACGACACGTTCCAAAATCTGTTCCGTTAATTAACACCGGCGAGGACAATCTGGCGCGTTACTGCAGCTGTTGGTAGAAGAGGGACATTTTGCCTTTCTAACTGCTGACTTGTTCTAAAAAAATCACTCCATTCTGTTTCATAAAAGCAAGGTGGCGAGTGGGGAGACAAGCCCCCCGAGTGGGCCACGGGGCGGCTGTGAGCATCGGCCGCGAGCTGCGGCGTCTCACCAGCACACTGTCCGAGGGGAAGAAGGAAAGACTATGTTCAGTGTGATCACAGCTGGTTTCCCTGCGCCTCTGACCTGCCGGCGCAGGGATGCAGGACACACGCCCAGGAACCAGCCACTGCCGGCACCGCCGTCCCCGGGAGAAGCCAGGGGTTTGGCCCCATCCTCTGAGGCCGGTCCCTACAGCGGAGCGCAGCCCCTGCGACCTTGTGCCAGAGGCCGCCGGAGCCGAGTCACCCGGGACAGGCACCCGGGACAGGCACCCGGGACAGGCTGCTGGGGCCCGGCGGGCCTCAGCCCACTCTGACGAGCAGTGTCATCTGATTTTCCTCTAGACCTGGATCGGGAAACGAGATGGCGAGCTCAGTGTCCCCCCAGCCCGGTCAACCCTGCGAGATGAGACACAGGTGACATCACTGGACTCATGTTCTTGGGCCGTCCAGGCCCAGTACCAGGGCAAGACCACACCCACTTCTGATGCCCATAGACCCAAACCGGACACCCACCTTGGAGGAAGTCACTACAATGGATCCATCCCTGTCTCAATGTTATCGTCTTTAAAAAACACTGAGTCACTGGTTTTATTCAGCGCAAACCACGTCTACAATGACATCTATGTTTTCAAGAGCAGAGCTGCTGTTAGTGGTGACACGTGCCATGCCACGAGCACCTGCCGCCCCTCGGGTCCCCGCAGCACCGATGGAGCAGCTGAGGCCGAGGTTCAGACGGATTCTAGAAACTGCGCCGGTGACTGAACACACCTTCCGCGTTTCAGTTTCGTTCCAGAAGGTTTAGAAGTGGAGCAGGATGCCCATGAGTGCCGTTCTCGCCACGACAACCAGCACAGGAGCCTGGCGTCGGGGACGTGGCGGGAAGCCGCGTGGAGGACATCTGGTCGCTCACGGGCAGAGCTCTGCGGTTCAAGCCGACCCTAGACAAGGACGCTGGCCGGAGGCGCCCCCTCCAAGCTCTCACTTCACTTGCTCCTGACCAAGAGCTCTGCTGTGCTCCCTCCTTACCGTCGTCCACCCCCACCCCCACTCCCACCCCCAGCCCCACCCCCACTCCTGCCGGCGCCCCCACCCCACCCGTGCCGGCGCCCGCCCTCCCCAGGCATGCACTGCACTGAGCCTATCAACAGGCCTCCTGTGTTGGATCCCGGAGCGAAGAACACGACAGACTGGTTCATCTGGTGCTTAAATAAAATAAAAACCTAGGGCTGTTCAAACCTTTTAGGTGTCTTTCTAAAGAGATGCTCACCGCTGCCTTCGGAGCCAGTGAGAGGCAGGCTGAGCCCGGCGCCCCCACCCCCACCCTGGTCCACAGGGGCAGGGCCGAGCCCGGCGCCCCCACCCCACCCTGGTCCACACGGGCAGGGCTGAGACCGGCGCCCCCACCCCACCCTGGTCCACACGGGCAGGGCCGAGCCCGGCGCCCCCACCCCACCCTGGTCCACACGGGCAGGGCTGAGACCGGCGCCCCCACCCCCACCCTGGTCCACAGGGGCAGGGCCGAGCCCGGCGCCCCCACCCCACCCTGGTCCACACGGGCAGGGCCGAGACCGGCGCCCCCACCCCCACCCTGGTCCACACGGGCAGGGCCGAGACCGGCGCCCCCGCCCCACCCTGGTCCACACGGGCAGGGCCGAGACCGGCGCCCCCCGCCCCACCCTGGTCCACACGGGCAGGGCCGAGACCGGCGCCCCCACCCCACCCTGGTCCACACGGGCAGGGCCGAGACCGGCGCCCCCCGCCCCACCCTGGTCCACACGGGCAGGGCCGAGACCGGCCCCGCCCCACCCCTGGTCCACACGGGCAGGGCCGAGACCGGCGCCCCCCGCCCCACCCTGGTCCACACGGGCAGGGCCGAGACCGGCGCCCCCGCCCCACCCTGGTCCACACGGGCAGGGCCGAGACCGGCGCCCCCCGCCCCACCCTGGTCCACACGGGCAGGGCCGAGACGGCGCCCCCCACCCCACCTGGTCCACACGGGCAGGGCCGAGACCGGCGCCCCCGCCCCACCCTGGTCCACACGGGCAGGGCCGAGACCGGCGCCCCCCACCCCACCCTGGTCCACACGGGCAGGGCCGAGACCGGCACCCCCACCCCACCCTGGTCCACACGGGCAGGGCCAAGACCGGCGCCCCCGCCCCACCCTGGTCCACACTGGGATCTCACTTTTAAGTTTCTGAAGGGAAGTCTGTCCTCATGGCTTTGCATTTAGAGCCCACTATTTAAATCTGTGATGTCCAAAATCACATATTTAGTTGTCCTAAGAGTCCCCAATGCCAGAAGCTCCATTTAATAGCAGAAACTGTCTCAGGGAGGCTGAGGCCGAGACAGGGACATGTTAGGCCTTATGCTCCCACGCCCACTGCGGATGTCACCTGGGAGGACAGCACAGATCCTGGTCTCCCACGGGCCGCAGCATCTGCCGAGACCGGGGCCTCCTTCCGGCCCCACCACACTTTGTTCGCTCATTTAATGCAGTTATCGACCTGCTGTGCTGGCCGCGCCCAGCTAGGAGTGGGCCAGCAGGGAGCAGACGCCGGTCCCCCTCCCGAGAGCGGCCGCATCCTAGCTGGAGGAACGACAGCGGGCACACGTTCCCAGAAGCACAGCGTCACTGGTAAAGGTGCCGAGGCTGAGAGTTAAGGGTGGGCAGCCAGTGTCGGTGGCTGTGCCTTGTTTCCAGGGGGGTCACAGAACACTCTCTGACAAGTGACATTTCAGCTGAGCTGTGAGGAACAAGAGGAATAGTTCGCACAGATGTCTGGGCAGAGAGCACTCCGGGGAGAGCACCCGGCCCCACGGCCTGAGACGTGGCATGCCAAGGTGTGGCCGTGGGGGAGACGGGGCAGGATGAGGTCAGGAGGTGGACGGGACCAGATCCGATGGCTGTGGGAGCCAGCGCGAGCAGTGTGGCTGCAGGGGCGATGGGAACGCTGGAGGGTTTGATGAGCAAGGGGGTGCCATGGTCTGACGACAGTCAAGGCTGCACCTGAGCGATGTGGCCCAGCCAGTCCTCTGTGGTGGACAGGACTCCTGGGCCAATCCAGCAACTCCCTGGTGTCGCCCTGCATTTCAGACAGCCATTCCAGCACAGTCCACGCGGGTGGAAGCCAAGGCCTGTGCCCACTGTCACTACTCAGACCATCCTCAGACACTTGCCCCAAACTCCACGAGCCTTCGCACTGTCTTCTCCACGCAGAGATTCTAAGAGTCGAGCTACGGCACGTGAGGCCGAGAGGACGCCCACCGCCGGGCCACAGGTGGCCGACCGACTGGCACTTCAACAACTGCCACTCCACAGCTCAGCCCGGGCGACGGCCACCCCGCTGAGTCGGCCTGGCTACGGCTGACACTGACTGTGGGACTTTGACAAGTTCACTTTTTCTCTGGGTTTCAATTTCTTCCCTTTTAAAACAGAAGTTAAGAGGTCCTTAACTGCCCTGGCCGGTTTGGCTCAGCAGTTAGAGCGTCGGCCTGCGGTCCAGAGAGACCCAGGTTCGGTTCCTGCTAAGGGCACGTACCTCCGTTGCAGTTTGTCCCTGGCCCTGGTTGGGTCATGCGGGTGGCAGCCACTCGATGTGTCCCTTTCATGTGGATGTCTCTCTCTCTCCCTCCCACTCTATCTGAACAAAGAAATGGAAAAATGTCCTCGGGTGAGAATTAAAAAAAAAAAAGCCTTGGCCACTTTGGCTCAGCGGTTAGAACATCCACCCATGGACTGAAGGGTCGCAGGTTCAATCCCTGGTCACCCGGGAGGCAACCAATCAATGTGTCTCAAATAAATGGTTCCTTCTCTCCCTGTCTCCTTCCCTCCATTTCACTCTATCTAAAAATCAATGGGAAAAACATGCTTGGGTGAGGATTATCAAAAAAGAGGAAAAGGAACATAAAATCTTTTAGCTACCCACATATGTCCCTGAAGCTCAATTTTACCATTTCTAAAGTAATGATGACAGACACAGACCTTTGTCAGCACAGGAGAATGTTTATAACCTATATCTGATAACCTCTGCCTTCACTCGCGCCCACGTATTCAAGGCACTTGTCAAAGAGTGGGCACACGGATGGGTGTGGAATGGTTCTAAGTGGTACATGAACATACTGGTTTAACAGATGTGTAACTTAATTTATAGGCACCAGAGATTACTAGCAAACTGAACTATGTCTTCACAGATATTCTTAAGAAAAAGATGAGTAAAAAAGAATGATTCGAATTAAAGTGAATTTTAAAACGAGTAAGTGGGAGACCAAAATTAGAAACATTCTGATGGTAGTATGTGACTGGGCAACATGGAAAGTCTCTATTTCAGATTCCTTTCAGTTGATGTCCAAAGGATCTATTGGACAACAGAAGGAAGGGCTAATGAGTCTATAATTCTCAGTTTACAACTTTTCCCTATATAATTTTTCCTACCCGAAAACACTTTTCTCTTAGCTGCCTGTGTTTATATTCCCATACTGGGAACTAACTCCATTCTTAAATGGAATAAAGTAAGTCACTGAATTCGATCTTGAAAATATCTAATAAAAAAATGACCATTTTCTTCTATTATGTTAGAATGTTATGATCGCCTCCTACATTTACTTACATTTTTCAGGTGGTGTTATTGTAATAGTCTGAGCTGTAAATTCTTCATCAAAATATCTGGTATCTGTCTCAGATGTTACTTGAGGCTTAAAAGGAGGTACAAGCTGTAAGAAGAAAGAAAAAAATACTGTTAACAGATTTCAGTTTAGGAAAAATTTTAGGAGAAAATGGAGAGCAAATAACTACCTGAAGAGCAAGAGACTAGACCCCTGCGTTGCGGCGGAAGGTTGGGGGGTCTCCAGGTGAACAGTCTAAGCGCAGGAGAGTAGGTAGTTGTTCTGTGTACAACTTTAGTTATTATGTGAAAATGAACACACGAGAACCAAAGAATAGGGTGGGAAGAGACTACTGAAATGTCTGTCCTGGAGAGTATTCTAGGTCCTTTGCATTCATATGAATCTTTGAATTAACATTTCTGCAAAATTGCCTGCCGGTTCTTGATTGGGATTGTGTTGACTTTATATACCGATTTCATGAGAAAAGACATCTTAAAAATACTGAGTTTTCTAAATCATGAGCACAGCATATCTCTTCATACTTTAGGTGTCTACTTTCTCTTAATACTACGTTTGTTTTCATTATAAAGGTCTTTCATATTTTTTGTCAAAAGTACCCCTAAGTTTCATATTTCTGTTGCTGTTGTAAATGTTTTTATTAATTTCCATTTTGGAATGTCTTGTTGTCACTGTATAAAATTATAGTTGTTTTTGTATCCTGCAATTTTTTGTGTATTTATCTTGTATCAAGCAACCCATGGGTTAAACTTTAGCAGCTGTTTTGTAGATTCCATCTGATTTTCTAATTAATCATGTTGTCCATGAATAAAGACAGATTTGCTTCTTTCTTTCTTTTTTCTAATCCTCACCTGAAGATATTTCCCTATTTATCTTCAGACAGAGTGGGAGAGAAAGAAAGGGAGAGAGAGAGCAATATCAATGTGAGAGGGACACATCGACTGTTGCCTCCTGCATGACCTGACCAGGGCTGGGTACAAACTGCAACCGAGGAACGTGTCCTTGACCGAAATCGATTCCAAGACTCATTGGTCCACAGGCCAACACTCTAACCACTGAGCTAAACTGGCCAGGGCAGGTTTACTTCTTTCTTAACTATATGCATTTTATTTCCTTTTCTTGCCTTATCACACTGGCCACTGGATTTAATTTTTCCTTATTTTTCTAGTTTCTTAAGATGAAAGATGAGTTCATTGACCTTAGACCTTTCCTCTTTTTGAAAATAATAATTTGGAACTATAAATTTCCATTGAAGTATTGCAGTAGCTGTATCCCACAGCTAAATGTGCTTTCTTTCCTTTTTGGTCTCTTCTTTAACCCATGAATTATTTAAACTTGTATTAAGTTTCCAAATACTTGGAGATTTCCCATATATCTTTCTGTTTTGATTTCTAAATACATTCTCCTTCATTCAGAGATCATATGCTTTAAATTATTTGAATCCTTTTAAATGTACAGAGTTGTTTTATCCAAAATTTGGTATATCATACTAGATGTTTTTCTGCATAACCTTGAAAAGAATGAGTGTTCCTCTGCTGTTGAGTAGTTTTTTATAAATGTTGATTCAATGAAGTTGGTTGATGGTATTGCTAAACTCTTCTAGAAACTTAATGATTTTCTCTGTACTTCTATTAATTGTTTGGAGATAGGTATGGAAATGTCCAACTCTAATTGTAGACTTGTCTATTTTTCCTTGCAATTTTATTAGTTTCTGCTTTATGTATTTTAGCTTTTGTTGGTAGGTGCAGAGAAGCAGTACTGTGTGTGTGTGTGACATCATCAGATAAAAGAAAACAAATTCCTCGCCAATCGACTTGTACTACCAAAAATGATCATGGAATTCTTTAGGCCAAAGGGGAATAATATCAGAAAGAAACCTGAATCTTCAAGGAATGAAGGAGGCAAGTGCTCCGGAATTAGACTGGGGGGGGAGGGGGCACTGCTCTGCATACACTGAGTATTTTACAGGGAGAATTCTATCCCAGTAAGAAACAAGTTAAAAAAAAAGAATGAAGAGCATTTGAAATGCTAAATATGTAGTTTTATACAAACACTAAAAGTTCTAACTTAGAGTCTGGGACAGAGATGAAGATGAATCTTCGTATAGGACACTGAAGTTGAATGAATGAATGAATGAATGAATGGAAAGACTTGAAATGGCCACAGTAAGGTAAAGAAGAGTCCCGTACACCCTTTCAGAAGAGGCATTAATCACCGAGGCCCCTCTCTGTTCCTTGCACTTAAGTACTAAGAATGAGTATTTTATTCATTTGAACAGTTGCCGTTCCTTTGAAATGAATATTAATCAAGTGACCAAAATAAACTATCCAGTACCTAAATTACTTTCTAAAAATAAGTTTTCTCTTCTCTTCTGAAGAAAATCTCTGGAAAATAAGTACAAATGTAGTAAGTGTAAGACTGATCTCAACGTGAACCAAAGATTCCAAATCAATCTTCCTTAAATACTCTTGCCGCTGATTGTTCTAGGTCATTAGTATTTTCCCTTACAAAGAACAAAGCTGTAGCAGTCAGCATAAGATGGCATTCTGAAATCTCCAACCTTCGCCGGGCCCTGGGCACTGCCTGGTGCCTGTTCACATGCCCTCCGTAGGCTTCTCTCCAGGCCCCTCCCTGCTCCCTACATAATGTGCCAGTCACTGTCCTCCAGCCTCGGGCATTGCCCACACACACGGTTTTCACTCTAAAAAGCAGGACTCCTCCAATAAAGAAAACAAGGCCTTTGGGCAGTAACTACTCCAGCTTCCCGAATAAATATTTATAAACACATTTGCTTCAGTGGGTAATTCTATTTCCAACGATGTCACTAAAAAGGGGCCCGACCTGTCTTGCAAAGGCTAATCCCTTTAGCTGTGCTTCACAGATCTTGCTTCTTTCTCATACCTCACTTTTGTTTGTACATATTTTTAAATTTTACAGTGTACTCTCCAGATGTTTTCATCTTAAGTCTTAATTTTTTCTATGTATCTCCACTTGGGGTCCTTATTGGATTTCCCCACTAAGGACAAAGAAGCAAAACGAGCAGAAACAAATATAATCCCTTTTATACGCTGTTCCATTTAGCTATTGCTCCCTCTTCCTTCATTCTTCAATTTTACTGAGTCGTCCATGCTTGGTGTGTCCATGTCTTGCACTTTTCACTTAGTAAAAAAGAACTGTTTCAACCATAAAAGAAAGAATAGAAAATAACATAAAAAGACAACAAGACCTAACGAATGTTAAGATTTTGTCACTATGTATTTTAAACTTCTGTTTTTTAAGATATAAAACACAGAGATGCAGTTAAATATCCATCCCTTTCTCCTCGCTAATATTCAACCATTTTAACTTGTTCTCAGTCACTTTTTCATTTGCATGCTTTTTTTTATACTTTTCTCCCTTATATAGGTGGCCGTAAATATAGTTGACAGAGTTAGTTGCAATGCCTCCTATTTTAAACTTCCCCCTTTTTTGCCAATAACATTGTAAATAAAGACCATCACACATTAAAATCCAAAAAAAGTCTAAAAGAAAATTCACTTAAATATACAAAATAATTTAACAGCAGCATGATGAGAAGAGATGTATCATACAAAATCAAAAGAAAGCTGGTATACTTATATTATCATCAGATAAAGTAGATTTCAAAACCAGTATTAATGCTATGGATATAGAGGAACATTTCATAATGATAAAGGGATAAATTCACCAAGAAGACATAATCCTAAACACATATACAACCAACAATGAAGTTTCAAAATACATGACACAAAACTAAAAAGTGAAACAAATTTTCAACTATAGTTAAAGATTACAACAATCCTTTCCCAGTAAAAACGAGTAGACAAAAAATTAATGAGAATACAGGAGACATGAACAATAATGCCAATCACTTTGATATAATGGATACTGGTAGAATACTTTATGCAATAAAAGCAGAATACACATTCTTTTCAAGTATACATATAACATATATGAAGAGAAACCATTTTTCTGGGCCATAAAAATATGAAATAAATTTAGAAGAATTAATATCATATAATGTATGTTTTCCAAGCACAAGGCAATTAGGTTAGGAGTCAATAACAAAGATAACTGAAAAATCCATATATTTGGAAATTGAAAAACACACTTTAAAATAACCCAAGTTAAGAAAAAAATCACAAGGGGAATTAAAAATACTTTCAAAGGAAAACACAACATATCAAAGTTTGCAAAGCATGGCTAAGTCTTCAGACAGAAATTTATGGCACAAGTGCTTAGAAAAACAGAAAAGTACCAAAACAATCATCTCAGCTTTCTCCTAAAGAAAATAGAGAAAAAATTGAACAGTAAATGCAAAAGCAGTAGAATAAATAATAAAGAGCAAAATCAATGAATTTGAACTCAGAAACATAATACAAAAGACCCATGAAACCAAAAGCTGGTTCTTTAAAAAGAATTGAGTAACACTGATAAACCTCTAGCCAGACTAATCAAGAAGAGCGAGAAGACATATCCGAAGAGAGGTCATCACTACATATACAACGAAACTCTAAAGACAATGAGGGAGCGTTACAAACACTTTCTTTAAGCCAACAAATTAGAAAACTTAGATGACAAATTTCCTGAAAGCCATAAAATACCAACACTCATTCAAGAAGAAATAGATAACCTTGATAGCCCCATAAATATTAAAGAAATTGAGTTCATAGTTAAAAACCTCCCAGCAAAGACAAAACTCCAGGCCCAAGTGGCTTCCCTGGTAAAGTCTACCAAAGATTTGAGGAACTGACAACACAGTCCACACAACTCCCTGCAACTGAAGAGGAGGAAACACTTCCCACCTTGTTGTTAAAAGGCAAACATGATCTTTAAGTTAAAACCATACACACGCATTTTAGGAAAACTCCCAGAATCACCCATGATGTAAAGATGCCAAAATCCTGAAGAAACACACTGTATCAAATCTAGCAACATGAAATAAAAATAACATCACAGATAGGTGAGTAACATCACAGATAGGTGGGTTTTCCCCAGGAATGCAGGGTTCATTTACCACTAGAAAACCAATCCGTGTAATTCGCCATGTTAACAGAATGTAAAGGAGAAAACCACTATGATGATTGCAACAGATGCAGAAAAGGCTTTTAATAAAATTCAACACCTATTCATGATAAGAACTATTAGCATACTAGGAACAGAAGGGAACTTCCTCAGACTGACAGAGGATGTACAAAAAAACCTACCCGAACATCAAATTTTTGTAACTTGTTATATTGAAATAATTTTAGGCTTAGAGAAGACTTACAAAAATAGTACAAACAGTTCCCCTATATCCTTTACGTGCCTTCCCCTAATGCTAAAACTAAGATACAGCCATAGTACAATGATCAAACTGAATAAAGTCACATTAGTAAGGGACTATTAACTACCAACTTTAGAAAGAGACTCAATTTAAGGATGCTGCTATAATGCTGCTGTTCAAGTGCATAAGGAGCACCAGTACCTCTCTGACACCCAGGACACCCGAGGTAACCTGTAACAGGTGTCAGTCCACGATGGGTTCTATTAATGGAAACTTTGTAATTTCTGTGGTTATCCTTCTTTATGCCAGATACTTAACACCTTCGCTCAAGTGTCATCTCTTTTTATCAATTTTAACAACTTAAGCTCATTGCTCTGCCCGTATCATCTAAAGCTATGTTTTGGGAGTTCCTCTTCCTGCCCCACTTTTGAGCTTCTCCGTCCGTTCACCACAAGGCGGCTGCCTGGGTGTCCGCACACCACGCTGCTCCGGGCGTCCAGTCCAGGGTGCGGACAGGCAAGCCCGGCCTGCTCGTGGTGTGCTCAGCTTTCTCCAGGTGATGCCAAACTACCATTTAACACGAAGAGCCCAATACTGGTGAGGAAATCTTTGCAGCATGTCTGAGTCTCTTAATAGGACTGAAGAGAGGCCACGCCCTGCCTCTTCTGTAAGTGAGCAATGCTGCACGGGGTTTTCCAACGGTCTCTTAGAGAAGTCTCTCTCTCTTTATTGAGTCCTTCTTGAACAGGGTGTAGCAAAGGTCTAGCTAGTTGTGGCTTATAGCCCTGTGCACCAAAGTAAACCTCTGACCAGGCATTATTCCTGGGAGACATAACAAGACGTTGATCTGTTCCAGGGTCTTCTGCAGTGTCCTGCATTATACAGGACACACATAGCTCAGTAGGGGTTACATGGGGACGGGATTCATAAGGAACATCATCAGCGTTACAAAGCCGATGTGCACCTGTCTGCACGAAGCTAGAACACACTGAGGACATTCACGAATGGTCACGTGTGCCCTGGCCAGCAGCTCAGTTGGCCGGAGCTCCATCCCTTACTCCAAAGAGTTTGGGTTTGATCCCAGGTTAGGGCGTATACGGGAGACAACTGATGTTTCGTTTTGTTTTTTCCTCTCTCCCCCCTTCCTCTCTGTCTAGAATCAATAAACATAATTGAGTATCAATTTAAAAATAAGAACAGTCACATGCTTCTCATAAGGGCTGAGAAGGACCCAATACTGACACACCCATGCTTTGTATATGGCAGAAACTCGAGATGTGAGTTCAACTGAAGTTTGAGTAGAAAAGTTTAATATGGTGCAACTATTTTAAACACCTAATTACAAGAAGTGCTTAGAAAAGTCACCATACTCTCTCTTATTACAGAAAGAACTTGTCTTATAGATATCATCTACTTTACTTTAGGGACTCATAGAGACTATCTGGTTCGAAAGAGATACTATATAAATGAGTTGTTGAGACATATTTCAGAGAAAAATATGAAAAGCTAGAATAAATTGAAATAAAAGGACTAACTACACAAAATAACCATATAAAAATTCTAAGCAAATACTGAATTACATAAAAATTTCATAGTAAAATATTTGTAAAACATTTGAAAATAAAAAAAATCAAAATTAGTGTCTATATTAACAATACCTATAGTAAAAATAAAATAACACAAAATCTGAAAGATAATACACAAAAATTTTCCATTTCTCAACATAAGCAGAAATTAAGTATTAAAAACAAATACTAAGGTTACAATAAAACTAAAGTTATATAATTAGTAGCACCCATCTTGTAAGCATTAAAGTTCTGTTTCAAATAACAGAAAAGCACCAAATAAGACAAATAGATTATTACCTTTTTAAATATCAAAACTAAATTGCTTTAAATTCTTTTTAAAATGGGATTTGTATGAATAAACCTGAAAAGTTCATTTTAAAATTTAAAGGCATAAAAACAAATTTAAAAATTATAACATTTTTGCTAGTTACTTTTTCCAAGGAGCAATATAATACAGGTGTCTTTATTTTTTTCTAAGTTAAGAAAACAATGAGAAGGAAACTGACAAATTGTTGTGATTAAAAAAAGAAAATTCACTTGACCATACTGAATAGAATTTCCAGATGTATTTTGGGAGTTAAAATTATCAATAAAACTCTGTGCTAAGAAGTTCAATATTCAATTAAATGACAGCATAAAAATATCATGATTATCATTAAATTTTGACTTCTCAGTTCATATAGTGCATACTTAAAAAATTATTATTTTTTGCTGTAAATTAATTTTAACCAAAATATATAAACACCATGCCATAAAGATAACCTACCTTTTTATCATATACATCTTGCCAGTTTACTCCAGAGAAGAAACTGTGTCTCATAATTTCTTTTGCATCATCTGGTCCTCCACCAAGGCTATGAGGACAGGAATAAAATTAAATGAGCATAAAACATTTACCTAAGTCCAATGTATAACAAAAAGTTTTTGTGAAAAGTAATTTTCTGTGTGATGAATAGCTATAAAAAAATAAAAGTCTTTCGGCGTAAGATCTAATTTCCCTAACATGCTATTAATAAGAACTAGCCTCAGGACAGTATGATATCTAGAAAGACCATAGGCTCCAGTGACAAACCTGAACCGGGCAACCAGCTCAGGGACTTGTGGGATGTGTGACAATTAAAAACTTGCTTAATCTCAGTTTTCTCATCTGTAGAATGGGAATAACAATTCCAACCTGGTGGGTTGTTACAAGGATTAGAAATAAGTAAGCACCTAGCACCGTACACGGTAGCTGTTACCATTGTCAGTTCTGTAAACTAAATTTATTTAGAAGATTCAAGTCAGAATACACCCTTGTCAACATAAATTCTGAAATGTCTGAATTGGTTAGAGAAACAATTTGTGGAACATTGCTAATAGAAACTCCTGGACTATTTTTGTGTCTCAAATGAATTTCTACAGAAATGATATTGTTAATCTATGAAATAGCATTACAATGTAATATGCTAAGCAAGTGTCAATATAAATTAAATATTTCCAAATCCACTCCTCCCGCTCTTTGAAGGCACTCTTACTGAGTGGATACCCCACACAACATGGAATGCAGGTGTTTTCTGACTTCCTCAGTTCATACAGTGCATACTAGTCGTAATGGAGAAAGAATGAGAGAAACAGAAAAAACAGAAGGAAAGAAGGAGGAAGGATGAGAGGGAAATGAGAGAGAGGAAAAAGAAAAAAACGGGAAGAATAAAGACAAGGAAAGGAAATCTATTCAAATCTGATTTTGATAGAGCAAGCTTTATTGGTCTTGTTCATGGTTAGGAATGAGGTACCCTCATAAATAAATGCTTGACAACCAGGCCTCTGGGGGAAATTATGCACATATAATATGAATATATGTTTATTATGAATTGTACGGATATAAAGGATACAAAGCACAACATTTACGAAGAATAAAAATATAGTGTCCTTTACTGTAAGTAAATGAACCAGCTGATGTTCACAGAAATCTTTCATTAATTTTTGCTGAAGTCCAAAGCTACCAACTGATTTATGAGCGGTCCAACATGAATGCTAGTTGTTATCGTTGTTTATGGGGAAGACTAAGATGGAAGTGATTTACTGGAGAGGTACGGCAGGACTTCACCTGTTTGTCAGGGGTGTGAGACTTCTTTGCTGAATGGTTAATAGTTTGGGAACAGTAGAAGAATATTTTCTCATTTTTGTGCTACTCATAATGTAATGGGTACAGATAACAACCTTTACAATTTTATCTGTATTAACATTTCGTGTATCACTTTCTGAAGTCTAAACAATCAACAGAACAGTGCATCAGGCCCTGACTCCCACGGTTTGCCCGCTCTGGTGATGCAAAGACTCCCGCCAAGGCCAACGGTGAATGTAACAACTTCATTTCAGAGAGATACGTTTTGCGTATTGATTGCCTTTGACTTCAGTATTTTAATCTAATTTACAACTTTATATAATTTAGCTTTTGATAATGACGGTGTTCAACAAGCAGCTCACACAATTCGTGAAATCTAATGACTGGCTCTCAGGAGCTGGCGCCTACCAACCCCCCACACCACTGGGTAGGAAGGAAACAGGCGGGAAAACAAACAACTGTACCTGTCTACTGAACTCTGGCTTATTAAGTACAAGAAACACGTGACTGGGAAGAATCCAGGATCCCCTGACATATTGTCAGAATGGGAAAGAAAACAATTAGCTGGTATCTGAGTATCTTGACTGACGATCAGTGGTTCCCCAGTCCAGGCCTCCTGTCCCCGGGACGAAGCACCCCTGCCAGGGAACTCTGAGACCGGATCCGAGCAGAACAGCACGGTCACCTCGGGAACTCCCGACTGGCCCGTCCCAGGTCACGCTCAGCACTCCACTCCCTGGCCTCGCTCTCCATTCTGTTTCTACTTGTGCATGTCTCTCCACCGGTAGATGGCGGGTACTTTGGAGGGTAGAGATCAGTACTGAATTATTCAAAAAGCATTTTAAGTTTGTGCTGAGGGAGCCAGAAAAGCAGAAACAACAAAACCCGTTTCTGAGCATTTAACATTTCAAAGTATGCCTCAGAGTCGTCTGCATGAGGAGAGTCAGAAGTTCAGTGCATTTTCCTCCACGTTTGTGACCGTGTATACCACAGGGCTTTCATTTTGCATCCTGTGTGAGGTGGAGCACCCGTGAGGGTTGGGTGGATGACCAGAGTCATTTTGTAAAGAAAAGGTTTAGCACTGGCTTCCTGTCTTCATCCTTCTGCCCATCCTCTAGCAACACCTTGGCTCCGGACGTAGCGAGCACTTAATCTGTGTTTATCAAGTAGTGTAACACCCAAGTATCGGCCACGAATACTACGCAAAGTCTCAGACTAGAATAGAGACTGCCATTTCAATGGCAGGGAGAGTCTCTTTTTTTAATTTTATCCTTACCCGAGGACATTTTTCCATTTTTTGTTCAGATAGAGTGGGAGGAAGAGAGAGAGAGAGAGAAACATCTATGTGAAAGGGACACATCGAGTGGCTGCCACCCGCACGACCGACCAGGGCCGGGGACAAACTGCAACCGAGGTACATGCCCTTAGCGGGAACCGAACCCGGGTCTCTCTGGACCACAGGCCGACGCTCTAACCGCTGAGCCAAACCGGCCAGGGCGGCAGAGAGGGTTTCTACACGAGCTTCCTCCAGCTGTGAAACTGTCAAAAATGCCAATGTCAATGACTCCCTAATATACAACTCAAGACTTCAAATTAATATCAAAATATGATTTGCACTGAGATACTGATGCTAGGAACGCTGAGCTCCAACATCGGAATGCCAAACTAGACCTCCGTGCTGCGGATCCTTCACGTCAGCAACGTCGGACTCGCCTTTCCCAGCGGAGCGAACGCCACGCGAGGTCTTGCTCTCCTGACAACTGCACAGGGAGAGGACGCGACACAGCAGGCGGAGTGTGAAGTAATGGAGAACAAGGAAAACGAAGTGACAGCTCAGGCTCCGAAAGCCCTGACAGCAACCCGGTCAAGGGACTGGAGAGACGCGGGCAGGGTTTCAGGTCCTTGAGGGGAAACAGGAGGTGCATGATAATGCCGCGATTGGCTACACCCCCAGACTCTCGGCGTCCCTGGGTGGCCCTGTGTCCCAGGACTCTGTCCTAGGCCCTCTTCTGTTCATCCTCTCTCTCCAGCCCCCACCTGGATGGTGACAGATCCCTAGGCCAGACGTTCACTTACTGTATTTCTTTGTTGTTGTTGTTAACCTCACCCAAGGATATTTTTCCATTGATGTTTAGAGAGAGTGGAAGGGAGGGAGGGAGGAAGGAAGGGACAGAGAGAGAGAGAGAGAGACATCGATGTGAGAGAAATATATCAATCGGCTGCCTCCTGAAAGACCTGACCAGGGCCGGGAATCAAACCCACAACCCAGGTGCATACCTTTGACTGGAATCGAACCCATGACCCGTTGATCCCTGGGCTGACACTCTAACCGCTGAGCCAAACAGGCCAGGACACTTACTCTATTTCTATTAAACACGGGTACTATTTTCCATCTGGGTTTCTATGGAAATCCGACTCGGTATAGTCAAAGCTCGTATCAGCATCTACCCATGCAGCCTCCTCCTCTGCCTGTACACCGTCTCTTAATACTGCTCATTCTCCAGACTAGTCCCCCAGCAGGAAAGCCAAGCCACCCGAACCACCCTGTTTCTTTCTTTTCATCCTCACCCGAGGACATTTTTTCCATTTTTTGTTCAGGTAGAGTGGGAAGGAGAGAGAGGGAGAGAGAGAGAGAGAAACATCGACGTGAAGGGAACACATCAAGTGGCTGCCACCCGCACGACCAACCAGGGCCGGGGACAAACTGCAACCGAGGTACGCGCCCTTAGCGGGAACTGAACCCGGGTCTCTCTGGACCACACGTCGACGCTCTAACGGCTGAGTCGAACCGGCCAGGGCTACCCTGACTGTTTCCATCTCGCCGCTTCTACTTCATCCTTCACACGTTCTACCTACCGCCCAATTACCACTGCTTCAAGAACCCCATCTTTTCTTTGCTTGTTAATCCTCACCTGAGGATACTTTTCCATTGATTTTCAGTGAGCGTGGAGAGGAGGGAGGGAGGGAGGAAGGTGGGAGAGAGGAAGGAGGGAGAGAGAGAGAAAGAGAAACATCTGTGTGAGAGAGACATATCAACTGGCTGCCTCCTGCATGTGCCCAAGCCAGGGCTGGGGATTGAACCTGCAACCCAGGTATATGCCCTTGACCAGAAATCGAACCCATGACCCTGCAGTTTGAGGGCCAATGCTCTAACCACTGAACCACACCAGCCAGGGCAGGTCTCCACCTTTTATCTGGACCATTCCGTACACATTCTCAACTGCTCTGCCGACCTGCCCCTGGCCCTTCGTGGTTCAATCCATCCAGGACAAAGCTGCCCGCGTCAACTTTTCATAACACAAATCTGATTATCAGCCCTTTTAATAATTCATGGCATCTCATCCCCTCTGAGTAAAGATGAAATATTTTCTAAGAAACGTAAGGTCCTTCCAGGCTAACATATCAGCTTCATCTCCCAGTGTTCCCCAGCTCTATTCTACAGGGTCGTCCCTGGGCTTCTCGGATGCCGTGTTCATCTGCAATTCGAGCTGCTCTTCACGTGCGACTTTCTCGGCCTGAGCGCCAACGCACAGCCCGACCACCTCGTGAGCCAGACCAAGTCTTCCCCAGACAGAGCTGATCATTTCTAAAGCAATGTGTATGTAGTTTAACCCGAGCATCTGTGAATATACGTTTTGGGCCCAATTACTCCATGAACATCTAGAGCAGAGAAGACTCTGTTCATCCCTCATTCCCAGTATCTTACTGCAGCAGTGGAGGGACTTAGCACAGTGACTATAAAAGGAAATAACAGACCACTGAAAACACCACCCCTTCTCTTTAGATAATTCCAACCTCTGGGTGCACAAACCTTTAAGAGTTGTCCTACTTACTGGGCAAATAACACCCATACCATTCTAAATTTACCTCATATTTATAGAATTAAGTACCTACTATGTACTATCCACTGGGTGGGGGGCAGGATGACGATGAAAATGAGCCAGACAGAGACATGAAAAGCACAGCACCATTTTGTTCCACCAGCTTCTTGTAGAGGGGGCCAGGCTCACCTGGCGAGGTCAGGAAAGTACGGGGTAAACAGTTCACTGCCCTTGAAACCCAAACCAACTATCAGGTCCCCAAATCAAGTCGATGGAATGGAAATCCTAACTCTTTTTTTTTAATGATTACCTGTCATCAAGTGCCACCTGTTACACTAATTGTGAAATCATCACACTAAATGGAATCTATTTCAAAACCTGAACCAAACTGGTGTATTGTAAGATATACGCGGAGGGGCAAAAGTAGGTTTACAGTTGTGAGTAGGTAAGACAGTTCATTCTTGTGTTATTGTTTACTGCTGTATTATTTTCCGTGCAAACAACTGTAAAACTACTTTTGCCACACATTGTATGAGAAATATCGAATAGACACCAAGAAGCTTGATTTCTCCTCTTGTTCTGTACAAATACTCTGTGAGACCCAAGGTAAGTCACTAAAACCTTTCTGGGCCTATTTTCTTCTCCATCAAATGGAAATGAGAACAATGTTGACCCTACCTACTCTACAAAGTACTGAGACGGCAAGGGATACAACAGATATAAAAATGCCCTGAATAAAAAAATTCACTTTACAAATGTAAGGTATGACTCCGTTACCAGAATGATGAAATGCAATTTGATTGGTTCTTCACAAAGCAAATAGATGGTACCACTACTTTAGGATTCATTTGTTCTTTCATTCATTAGCCCAGTCTATCAACAAATACATACTAAGTGGCAATAATAAACAGATCATTGTAAAAAAGAAATAATGTGAGGTGTTATAAAAGAGTCAACAATGTATGAAATGGGCTGACCTCAGGATGCTTATGAGCTACGAGATGTTCAGAAAAATACCGATATGCATATAGATCTACATGGAAAGGTGGATATATACAAAGACAGATGAGACTCATATTTTAAGGGACACTAAAAGTTAATAGTCATTTCATATACAACTTACAAAGTGCATGTCTGACAACAGTGTTGTGAGGGGGGCAGAATCAGGAGGAAGGTGTCAATGGGGGAAAATGGAGAAACATCTGTAACAAAAATAAATTAATTAAAAGAAAGTGCATGTCTGAGGTGGTAGAAGGTATAAGAGGATAAAAGGTGATGGAAAAAAATAAAAGTTTAAAGGTAAATAAACATAGCCCTGGCTAGTTTGGCTCAGCGGTTAGAGCGTTGCCTGTGGTCTAGAGAGACCCGGTTCAGTTCCTGCTAAGGGCATGTGCCTCGGTTGTAGTTTGTCCCCGGCCCTGGTTGGGTCGTGCGGGTGGCAGCCACTTGATGTGTCCCTTTCACGTCGATGTTTCTCTCTCTCTCTCTCTCTCTCTTCCTCCCTCCCACTCTATCTGAACAAAAAATGGAAAAATGTCCTCGGGTGAGGATAAAAAAAAAAAGTAAATAAACATATAAACGTGAGCGAATACTATAGCTCATTAAGTAAAGGGCTATAGAATTCTTCAGGTCATAGATGAGGCTACAAAAACAGAAATACAATTATATAAAGATTTTTTTTGCTATTCTTTCAGTTATGCATGAAAAAGAATATCTTCAAATGACAAGCAAAAATGTATTTAGGTATGTTGGGGTGAGAAGAGGGGACAGAGACAAGTCTGTGTGTTTTATAACGTGAATCAGCAGAGTTTCAGAGGCCCAGAGACAGCAAGCACCAGGGCAATTAAGAAAGTTCACTCATAATACAGATAATAAAACTCCCCAAATCCGTATTTGGTAAAATCTGCATCAAATTTCCAAGTTAGGAAATAGTTGAGGAAATTTGTTAAATGTTCTATATTATGCAGTTAAAAATAAGTCAGTATCTCAGTGGGAAGATGTCTACACCAAATACATTGCTTCTTGGAGCTAGTTATGTCTGAATTAACTTCCACATCACAACCACTCGCCACATTCCTCAGCAGCTCACTGTGCTCTTGGTGGCTCACCGTTTATTTGGATCCTTTATCAAGAGCCCTGATAGCAACGATTTTGCATCTGAAGAGAGTGTTCGAGGAAATTTAATGTCTTCCATTAGTATTAGTTCAAAAAGTTTCTCGTGATCCTGGTTGTAGAAAGGTAGCCTCCCACACATCATTTCGTACATGACGACCCCCAGGCCCCACCAATCCACGGCTCGGCCATAGTCATTATCTTCTAACACCTGGAAGAGAAACCAGGGAAAAGTCATTATGACACATTCACTTCTAAAGCATTTACTTATAAAACGTAAGAGTTGTACATAAAAATAAACCCTAACTTTCAAAGCCTAGACAGGCAAATTTTAGATCTGAACATTGAAACTACAAAACATCCGACAAAAGACAGAAGTCACACCAAATATTCAAAATATATCCAGAAATGGTCAGCGTACAGCAAAGGGGCACACGACCAACCCCCGGTAAATGAGCACGTGAGGGTGCTAGGCGTGGACTGAGAACCGGCAGCAGATTTGCTCAGCAGATTGGCATGCCTTTTCTTAGGCCTACTTAATTTTTCATTCGGGTTCACTAATGGGGACGCTAAGTGGCAGCTCGGAGCTAAGGCGTGCTGATCGGAGCGCGTGATGCCTTACACACCCCTGCACCGAGAACTCAGGAACACACCCCGGGCGGCGGAAGACAGGAGTAAGCACAGTGTCACAGGGAAGAGCACAGGGCACGGCCACCAGGAAAATACATCTGAAAACTTCTGGAGGTCCCCACGTGCTTCGACTGAGGAAATACTAGTCAACAATGTGTACTCGAAGGGCTCCTGTTTGGGCTAAAGCTTCAGTGCCCGTGACAATTTCTGTCAGACACACACAACAAAATCATGGACTCGGTACCTGTGTAGGATGTACATTAAATTTGTTTTGCAAAATATCAGGCTAGGTTACAGCTACCTGTTCACATCAGAACATGATAACTTGCCATTTGTCCCAGGAAAAATTGGATTGTAACTTTCTTTTCGATATGTTCCTCATTCAATGGAATTTTCTTCATTTATTTGGAACTCTTAATATTTTATTTTAAATTATTATATTTGAATAATCTTAAAGTTTACTTGTTCTGATCCTCTTAGCTTTGGGATAAACAGATCAAGAAAACCATACACATGAAATTTATCAATTAAAAAATTTTATAACTGATTACATAAGAGAATTTGATACAGAACAAAGTAGTGCTCATATTCCACACTCTCTCAGTTTGTAAGTAAATACACTGTTGAAGATGATGCCTATGTGTCTTTTATTTAAAATTTACCAGTAACTTCACAGAATTGCACATGACATTTTCAATAGTTAAGGTCCTTTTAGAGACAGGGTATTTCAAGATGGAGCATATAATATCAAGAAAAAAACTGTTTAACTTAAAGATCCGTTTAGTGGTGTTTTCAAGTGTTATGAAAAGATTTTGAATTCACCTGTATCATTGTTTTGTGGCTAAAGCAACCCAGAAACAACACTGGCAAGAGACGAACACAAGCCCAGCTCCTGTGTTTTCAAAAAATCTTTTGTAAATCACAAACTAAGCAAAATATTTACAGGAAAAACAACAAATTCTCGTTTTTATCTTTAGCCAAAAATATTCCAAAATGTCTGTTTGTTTGAAATGAGTAATGTGAGAACATACAGAAAACAAGAAATAACTTAAAGAAGCAGAGAAATTCTCATGTACTTAATTGAAAGGAAATGCTGTAATATAATTTTTAAATACCAGTGACTTTCGATTTTTCAAGAATCTATCTCATGTCCAGTTAGTAGAATGTATTGTCTGAGCCTTTTTCTAGCAGGTCCAGGATTTTACCTAGTAACAAAAAATTTTAAAATCGAAGTAACCTTCCTCTGCATTCCTACAACACCAGCAAAACAGAGGAACATGCGAAAAAGAGCCAAACATGGTTTTTAACCTCTTTTTTCATAAAACCATAAAAAGCATAAAAAGCTGGATTAACTGCCTCCCGAACCCACATTTCACCAGCCGGGTTCTCATCCCCAGCTGGCAAAACTGGCAATCCTTTATTTTTGTTTAAATACCTGGTTTGCAGCCAGAAGGGAAAGTAGTACATTAAAAAAAAAGGGGGGGGGGGTATTTTTGAAGAGAAGCATCTGAAAAATAAAACTGCATTGCATAAAAATCTGTTTGATAAAATAAAATGTATTTTATTTAGCTTTGTAAAATGAACACTGATTCTCCAACTAAGTGGTTTTGCTTCGGAACATAATGTGCTTTAATTGATACACATAGATGTAATGCTACAATTAGAACTGCTTGCTGTATCACTTTGTACTGAACAAATTTGATGTGATGTATTACCTTTTTGACACACAAGCTTAAGCAATGTTAAAGAGAAAATACCCTAACAACTCAGCCAGCCTTCTTGATCTGAAAGTCTTTGCTATCAATTAAAAAGAAAGATTTCTGTTCAACTCCTACCTCCAAACAGTTGGACGATGAAATACACAAGAATTATAAGTGATTCTAATATTCTACATGTGGATATATAAAACATATTATCACTACTCATATAGTATCCTTTCACTATTTTTAAATATAAATTATTACAAAACACAAAACTTGGAAATACTCTAGAAATTCCAGAGTGAACTTAAAATCAATTTTATATTATTTTTGGAAGATAATTTTCTCCCTTACTCAAAGCACTTCTTTTTCCAAAATTACAGAAACATAAAATCTATATTTTTTAACCTGAGAGTTGCAATTACTTCTGGCCACCTCTGATTATTTTTTTCCTAGCAAAAAGGCTAATATATTTCCTGGTTATCATGAAGACTGATCCAAAGGGCATGATAAACAGGAATATAGAGGTGCAATGATAATGTCCACTTCAACTCTGTTACAATGTGATTTATCATGTAATTTAAACAGAAATGCAGATCAAAACCTACTCCTAGAGGAATAATCCACTGAAAGACTAATCTTAAAGAAGTGATTAATCTAAAGAAAGCATCTCTTTGCCATTACATCAATGTTGAGGACATTCAGCTAAACTCAAGGTTTACGTATGGACGTAGATACAGTGTGTCCTTCTACCCTATTGTTCTCTGTGACCACAGATGTAGCTTTACTTTATAACTGCATTTAACACAAATGCCCAGACAGACATAAAGGACAGGAGGGGATACAGAACACTCAGGAAACGTGACTGGTAAGAAATGATGGTAGGTCACAGCAAGGCAGCGCCCAAACAGCACCAACTCTAGGAAACAAAGCATCGTTTCATTTGTCCACCCGGACCCAGAGACTGCCTCACTTTCTGCTAAAATAAAACCTAAGGTTCAGGAGGCCACAGCAGGTACCAATTACTATTCAACAATCTAGTAATATTTGATTAATATTTGGTAATATGTGATGTAGACACTTAGATTTATAAAACAACCAGGTGAGTTGAAAAAATCAGCATAAATAGCTCTTGAACGGTTACTGATTTCTTTCTTTCTTCTTCTTTTTTTTTTTTTTTGGTACGTGCCCCTAGCAGGAACCGAACCCGGGACTCTCTGGTCCGCAGGCCGATGCTCCAACTGCTGAGCCAAACTGGCCAGGGCAATGGTTACTGATTTCAAAGAATGATATTAAATAATAAACTATGTCTTTTAAAATAATACCATCAATTAAAATTCCCAATGCAAATATTTATTGGGCTAATGGGCACTTATAAAAAAAACATACTCATTCAAATATTCTTGCACCGACTCGGATTCACTGGTAAACGCACACAATGCTCCCAGGCAGGCAGTGATGAGGGGCTGTGTGTGCCCCAGAATGGCTTCCTGCTCAGTCAATAGTCCTGACAGAACAGATGGGGGGGAAAAATTAAACATCTAAACAGACTGTCTGCACACCTATGTTGTGAAAGTAAACTGTGAACTTGGATGAACCAATTTACCGCTAATTCAAAAAAATTTGTTTCTGGTAACCCTTATATTTCAGGTAACTCATGTGTGTGTTTTATATATACATACACACTCTTACACACTTTATCATTTATGGAAATCCTTCACATGTTCTTAACATCACAGGAATTTGCTTAACAAAAGACCTACGCATATTCTAACTCAGATTCGGAAATGCACTCAGCTTCTGGGGGAAGTCCATATTTCCTAAGAATCACGGAGTCCATGGTTTCTGGGTATTTTCTTCATCATATATTGTCATCTGCTCCAGTGACTGCAGAGAGGGGAGCTGCCCCTGCGGGGCGCTGGGAGGCTGGACGTGTCGCCATCTCCCCCCGTCCGCACGGTTCCTGCGCACAGCCAAGTGCACCTGTGACAGCAGTGTCCGGCTGGGACCGGCAACACTCTTCAGCAAGAGAAAAGCTGACGGATACAATGCTGGTGACTAAACCACACTTACACATACCTTCCCAGAGGGCCTATACTTCCTTTTCACCCGGGAGCAACAGACACTATGGACCAAGAAACGGGGTCTTGGTACCCCGACTAAAGCTGGCCTACTGCTGTCAATTAGCGATAGTTTTCTAGACGCTCTTATGCTTCGGAGAAGTTACAAATAAACTTGATGCGAAACCAGAACCATTCCAAAGCACTACATGCAAATAGAAGCCAAAAGACCACATAACATTTAAAAAAAAAAGTCCGGTGAAAAATAGCTACCATAAGAACTTTCCGACCTCTGAGCAAGTAAAAACTGCTACTTAAATGAACACTGAGAGACATCAACACTGAACTAAAAAATATCATTTCAGTTCATACTTTTACAATGTCCAATTTAGGAACAAAATGGGATGGTTTTGAGTATTATCCAGAAACAGTACACACGGTAAGCCGAACATACGACAGAACTTTACAAACATGTTTATTTTTCCCATCACCGTTCATCGCATCTATACCCCGCACCTCCACCTTCCCTGACGGAACCTCTGTCATATGAATTCTAATTACCAAGCGCACCCTCCTGCCTGAACCAATCCCTGCGAAGCTCGGCTGGCTCTGCCCCTTAGTACTGGTGAGACCTCTGCAGAACCATCAGGAAGATGAAGACGTTCAAAAATGTCTCCAGAGGACAGGCCTTTCATGCCATATTAATAATTACATAACCTATGAGGGATGTGCACAGTTTTACAAAGGCTACTAATGCAACTTTTTATTGTCGCAAGCATCTTCCACGTGTTAAGACCCAGCTTCACAGTCTGGTAGGGACAGTAGAGTTTGTCCGCGGGCTGAGCAAACGGAACTCCGGCTGCCACTGTGTCTTCCTGCAGACAAACCTAAGTAGCTTGGGCCTCCTGTATTTTTCTCCATCTCCTGAACACAGCATTGGCAGAGCCTGTGACGTGACGTCTTTTACATTTATTCTTTGTTGTATTTAAAGTAAGGAAATTAAATGCCATTCAACACATTTAAGTCTAGGTTCTAGACTACTCCCCCTGCCTACACCACTCCATTCTACCAACTACCTTTCTCCTCAATTATTATGATTGTCCCAGCTCATTCTGAAGAAGTTAATGTATGTCTTTGGCTTTAAATTTATATAGAATTTAATTTCCATTTGTACTGTTATCCATATAGCAACACAATGGCTTTGAGCGAATCTTTATATCAAAATAGTTATCAAAATACTCTGGTCTAGTTCATATATTTTCAAAATATGGATTCTATAAAATATACTAGAATGTAGATTTCAAAAGAAAATGAATAAAATGACAGTGAATGTTTTCTTAAAACAAGCTTCTAAAAACCAAGCGTGCATCAAAAATACATTTTCAGCCACTGAAAACAAATTTTTTTACAGTTATATGAAACGAAATTATAAATACTTTTTCTCTGAATAGCAACCGCAACTAGAGGCTATGTATTTTCCAACAATCAAGCCATTTTCTGCAATCTTTTTGTTAGTTCAGACTTGATTATCAAATAATTTTTATTTTTACACTATTACAGAAGTGCATTTCTCTAGGTTTCCAAAACCACCTTATTCAACCTTCCCCATCTGTCACCATCTGCTTCTTTTTAGCATGTACTTTTTGTGCGATCACATAAACATGTGAAAAATAACTAACGTGCGGATGATTGTCTGCTGGTACATTTGAGGACTGGGCATAATAAAAGTGAACTGCCAAAACGCACTTAACACTTTTAATTTTGTTGGGTCTTGCATGTAAGCTACACTTGATTTTCAAACTGTTTTACAGTTGGAAAGTTGATCAGGTACTGCTAACTCAAGAGCAAAGCTGAGACTAAATAATTAGCACTGCATAAAATGGTTTGGATTCAATGAGAGCCAATGCAAATAATAAAACTTAGCAGTGAGATTTTATATGTGATTTCTAATTTCTTTTGTAATTTTTAGGTGTGAAAATAGAGTACAATTTGCAAAAACAAATTCCTCTCAAAGTATCTTATTGTCTATAACGTACGGCCGGTCAAGTTTATTTCCTTCTAATATCAGTAAGAGCGAGCACACGTTCATTTATAACTATATATACAAGTGCATTTTTAGAACACCAAATGCATAGTTCATATGCCTGCTAGGACCGTATTTCTGCAATCGCTTAAAAAATACACGATCCCCCGCTACGTAACACGAAGGACCTATAATTCTTCATCAAAAGAGCTAAGAGAACAAATGTTTTTAAAATACTCTTTTTTCAACAAATGGCGTTTTTATACTATAAGACTCATCTTTTCTGGTGGTCTCTGCCTGAGGAAGAAACAAGTTCATTTAAAACTTAAGCTTATTTAAAAATCAACTATGAATCTGATCCGCAGGCCAGTGCGTCGGTTTGAACTGATTTTTAAGTCTTTTTAAATAGCCTTCGCCTATCTTTACACAGCAAAGCATTTCCGGCAGATTAAAACAACTAGAAGGTGGAGGACGAGGAGCCCTGCTAGGATGTCGCAGGGTCTCCGCACGTGTAAACAAGTCTGCGAGAAGAGAAGGGAAGTGCTGACGGGGAACCCTCCCCCCGACAGACAGTGCTCAAGAGCCCACTCCAGGCCTGACCACTGCTACTCATGTGCCATCAGAAAGGAATGTCAGGGTTCCCGGAGGCGGGACCCCAGGTGAACAAGGAAAGAGCTGGTTTCAGCTCAGGCCAGTCCTCCCTGACTGACCATCTGACCACAGTGTTGCCTTGCTCGCAATCCAAGTGGCTTTTCCTTCTCCCCGAGCCCCAATCTAAATCTGCACCCCATCCTATCCACACGCCCAAGCTCCTCGCTTTCTGCCTCCCCTCACTGCCCCGCACCGGACCCCCCCAGAAAGCTCCCACATCTCCTTTCCTGCCGCCACACTCTGCATAACCCCAGTAATTACTGTTTGCACAGTAATAATTAGTCCCCCTGTCTTACCACCTTAGTAAACAGTCATATAGTTGAGGACAAACACCATTTCTTACGCTCTTTGTACTCCTAGCACCTAACAGAATGCGTGCATCTAATAAACATTCAATAAATATTTCCTTATTGAATGAATGAGTGTTCTTAGTGAAACGGTTCATATCAAAGACCAGAAAAAGAACTTAAATTCTTTTAAAAGTAAGAGTCAACATATTCAAAGTTACCCTGATTTAACAAACATGTTAAATATAAGAATTAAAACTGCATGAGAAGTTAGTGGTTTCAAGGTGGGTCATCCTCAGACAGTAACTACAGTGCTCTCTCTCCCCAATAAAAATGAGAGTCCGGATTTTAATTAGGAATCAGCATGTCTCAGCTACGGGCATATAAACTGCTTTTAAAGACTAGACTTCTACAATATTATACTTCTACATACATATATACGAAATGTTTTCTTGTCTTTACAAAGAAGTTGAAAATTTTTTGTAAATTATAAACTTTCCATTTAGAAACAACCGGGCTCTTCCTGCATTAACTTCTCGGTTTTGTTCCTCAGTTGATGACATTTGCATATAAAACAATATCTTTGTTTCTTTGATCATCTGCTTTTAAAATGAGATTTATCTTCTTCAGAAATAATTTTCCCTACTTGTGACACAAGTGATTTTGTGATTCTGAAACTGGGAAAACATCATCCATGACAGATGCAGAGCAGGGGAAACTGAACTCCAGAGAACCAAGAAATTTATTTTCCACGATGTTCACAAAACAATCCTATTCCAGGGTAAGTTCCCCGAGAGCAGCGTCCTTCGTGTCTTGTTCCTGTAACCCCATCACCCAGAAAAACACCCAATACACAGCACACACACAGTATAGAGCTTCTGGATAAACAAACAGAATTATTCTGGGACCCTCAGTACTGGGTCGTCAGTTGGAGCTGCTTTGGTCTGAATTCCACCATGTAGCTACTGTCATTTCGTTAATTCTCCCAACGACATACTTTCTAATCATCATGAAAACCCACAACCCTACAAATCCAAATGATCAGTTTCTTTGTTTCAAAGGAAAACCCAAATGGTTAGGTTTCTGAAGTCATTCAATTATTCTGTTTTAATAAATACATTAAAAAGACCATCATCAAAAAAATAAAATGTATATGGCCAACAACTAAAAATGTACTTACTTATTATAGCTAGTACCTTTGTGCGCATAAAATTTATATACATTTAATTGCCCTATAATATCATGTTAAACAGTGGGAGGAAAATCGATTTGGTTCATGTTAAAATTCAGGTAGAAAAAGTTAGGTACTGCAATTTTTGCTAATGCTTAAATGGTTTCCTTTGCAAAACAGTGTATCAATGTTCCTTCCCTGTGACCGAACCCAGCCTACCTCTGGGGCCAGGTACTCGGGCGTTCCACAGAACGTCTTCATGGTGGCTGCATCTGTGATCCCTTCTTTGCAAAGTCCAAAATCCGTAATTTTTATGTGGCCATCTTTATCCAGCATCAAATTCTCCAACTGTATAGGAAGAAAAATGACATGATTTGTTTTGCAGTCTTCAAATATAGGAAAGTACTATCTTGAAACAATGATCGAATGCGGAGTAAGGTATTTTGGAAAGAGGACATAGTTGTTAATACAACTTTCAGTATTTAAAAACCCTGTAGCTTCCTAATTCACATGTAAAAAGAAACATGTTTTATCAAATACTTTGATGATAAAATTATTTTTTAAACCAATGGGAGTAAGAGCCATTATTGTGTAAGTTCTGAGAACCTTTCAAAGCAAAAACCAACCCTCCTTTTATTTAAATAAACTCGTGATCTAAATAATCCCAAAGAAATGAGCATCTTCTCAATATATGCAAATGGTTTTCAACAGTTCCTCTTGGGAATCCATTGCTACTATAAAATATTCCCTTACAGAAATGTTTTTTAGTGGTGGTTGTAAATCAAATCTAAATCTTATTTTGTAAGGTAAGGCGGTACCCTCTGTTGCAGTTCTTTATAATAAAGAAATACCAAACCTTTTAAACATAAAAAGAAAGGAATGTCAAAGTCAAACATCCAACAGTTAATGAAAATATATAGCATAAATATTATACAGTTGGAATCTCTTTGAAGCCATTAATGAAAAAACACCAAAGAGAATCTTAAAGATTTAATCAAGTAGTAAGATCATCTGCCTTATGAAAATTATGAAATGCAAGGGGAAAAGGAGTTTGTGCAAAGCCAATACAATAAAAAATAACAATAACTGATCATTTTTCTCTCCTATTTTGAACCCAAAGTTATGATGATCATCACACACTGATACATATGGTCCGGAGTTGTGACCTTCCAGCCTCACAGAGACGGGGCCCCTAACCTTACCAACTCATGTAGATACAAGCACATGTGAAAATATAGTAGCAGGATAAATGACGATTAACTTATTTAAGGAGTAGGTAATTTATCTACTCCTTAATGTGATGATACATCCAAGTGCTTACCTGTTTTATGAACTCTGAAGTCAACATTCAATTCAAAACAGAACTCCATACATGAACATAAATGCACACAGAATGTGGTGATATCATACTGTTACATCATCTAATGTCTTATAAACCAGAAACTAAATACAGTCAAGCAAGTTGTGCTCACTGAAGGAAAGAGCAGACAGGCACGTGTCCTCAGGTGTAGTTCTTAACTGTGCTACCTGGCTAATCTAAATGCTTGACACAGGCTTTCTTTATCGCATAGCTTAGAGAAGTGATATACTGTTGAACCTTTTAAGATAAAATTCTTTTATTTTATCTAAATTCAGAAACCTTGCATCTTCCGCATGCTTCTCTACTAACTGGAACCTGAAAGTCAAGCCTACTTTGCACAAATGGCAACAAGTCCTGAGGACGGAAGCCGAACAGAATCGTCAGGAAAGTCTGTGAACGTCTGTCTTTCCCTGCCCGCCTGCCCTCTGCCTTGGTCGGTCTGTCTGTCTCTCTTCACCGTCTGGTTTTCTCCCTTCTTCCTTTTCCTTCCTCCCTCTCTAACTTGCCATAATGAGAAACAGAAGCTTATACTGGAGAGTCTGTTGGTTTGTTGAATAAAAACGTCCTGTTCCTAATTTTTAAGAAGATGCTTATGGTTTTAATATAGGAATGTATTATACATATAAACAAAACCAAATTAAGTTCTTCGAATGCTGTATGATTTTTAAAAATATTTAATAAATCTGTTTTACCAAGACATACAAAATTCTTATAAAATCTCCAAATAGTACTACTGTATGAAATGTGAACGTACCATCCACTCCACCCGCCCACCCCGGCCTGGTTTGGTGTGGGTCAGCCAACCTCCTCCATATGCCCTGCATACACGGGAAAGTGTTCACGGAGACATCGTACCATGAACTACTGCTCCACATTCTGACGAGGCTGTTTCGTCATATATTTTAAATCCTGACTCATAATGAATTCTTTACCCTCGGATCATCTCTGAGCCTCTCACCAAGGTGTGAAGGACGAAGAAGGAAAGGAGGAGCAGGAACAGGGTTGGGGTAAGGAACAGACTGCAGGTGACTGAGTCCCAGCTTGCCCGGAACGGAAGGGGTGTCCTGGAACACAGGACTCTAAAGCTCTAACTGGGGCAGGCCTGGGCAAACCGGACAGCTGGTCACCCTCCTGTCTATGAAGCGGCTTTAAAGCATTACAGTGATACGGTGAGCAGTGAGGTCAGCCTAAGGGATGACTGAGATGGCGGGCGGGCCATGACGATGGGGGCCAGACAGCACCTGCATGGGAGGCACTGCAGAGCACACGGGGTAGGCGGAGGGGGTCGAGATGGAGAACGCACACGTGAATTCAAGCTTCACCCCCGACTCCCTGTGTGACCTTGGGCTATATGCCTCAACTTCATCTATAAAACAGAGGTAAGTAACAGTAGCAATCTAATGTGATTGTTTTGAGAATAAATGAGATACGAACTGCAGAACTTAACACACTGTAAGCATTCGATAAATGTACTGGTCATTACTAAACATGGCATTTCATGGTCAATGTGTACGTTACCAAAATGGTGTGTGCTCTTCTACATAACACTGTATTTTAAAGGAAACCAACGTTCAGGAACAAAAGCCTATAAAATACTTTTGTCAGCTCAGTGACTTCAGTAAAAACACTTTTCAATATGTAAGAATTTCTTTTGCACAAACCAACAAAACATAAATATTTCATAACTTTAAAGCCAGTTATTTTGTAACAGTGTCCACCTTTTCCCATCAACTACTTTTCTTCTCTCACCATCCTAGAGAATCATTTTGCTGAGCGTGAATGATCAAATCAACTTGCCCTCCAACAGTATAAATGACTGTCAGCGATACATCACCTTAAAAAATACCCCCAAATCCAATGTGTATAAAGATAAGTCAGGAAAATTAAATATCCGGACTTATTAAAATAGTTTTTCTACACAGAGGCATAACAAGTTTCTGGAACACAGAAGAACCATCAGTGTTGTGAAGGATGTGCAGAATCACCTGGAAGTCTTTTCAAAGCAGACCAAAGACCTAGACATAACGGAACACCTGGCCATCACTTCCTTAGTGATTTAATACTGACATAAACAGGATTTGGTCAAACATTTGTAGGACTGCTTCCACTGTGTAAAGAAGGAATATAGACATTTACAAATGATCTTTCCTTGGTTCTCTCTCTTTAATGTCATGCCTTTCCTTCTTCCTTTGGCTAGCCATTAAATGCAAAATGCATGCCCTGGCCAGTTTGGCTCAGCGGTTAGAGCGTCAGCCTGCGGTCCAGAGAGACCCGGGTTCAGTTCCCACTAAGGGCACGTACCTCGGTTGCAGTTTGTCCCCGGCCCTGGTTGGTCGTGCGAGTGGCAGCCACTCGATGTGTCCCTTTCACGTCGATGTTTCTCTCTCTCTCTCTCTCTCTCTCTCTCTTCCTCTCCCTCCTTCCCATTCTATCTGAACAAAAAATGGAAAAATGTCCTCAGGTGAAGATAAAAAAATAAAAAATAAAATAAGTGCAAAATGCATACTGTCACTGGTCAGGTACTCTTCATTTATAAAACATAAATGCATCTGTTTTTGTTTTGTTTTTCAAATATGCTTTTGTTATTTATTTTAGAAACAGAAGAAGAAGGGAGAGGAAGAGAGAGAAACATTGAAGTGAGAGGGTAACATGGACAGGCCGCCTCCTGCACGCCCCCTACTGGGGATTGAGTCTGAAACCCAGGCATGTGCCCTGACTGGAAATAGAACAGGAGATCTCTCAGTCCATCGGACGATGCCCAACCAACTGAGCCACACTGATCAGGGCTAAATGTGTCTGTTTTATTGCCACAGTCAGTCCTAGTTTACAAGGGCACTATGTTTTTGCATAATGGATGCACCCACTGGCAAAGCAAACAGGAGGTTTGAGAGAAAAAATTATGTATTAAGAATCTGGTTCTGCTTACTACTTGTATCAGAGGGTTTCTAACAGTTCACACTTCGAGGAGAGAAAAAATATTAGGCATATGCCCCATGAAGTTTCCATAAAAAGGCAACCTTCTTTACCCAGTTGAAGTGGACAGGCATCATCTGAGTTGGTTAAGTTGATAGAGGCGTTGATTAAGTGTACACATGAACAAATGCTGGCCCTGGAAACTTCTTTTCCCCTGTGCTTTGTGGACAGGAAATTATAGCAAGAAAATACTATGGTCCTTCCTGCTCTTACTGGTAACTAGAAGAAAATTAGACTAAAAATCCTGAGCTGTGCTGGACACAGGGCTTCCGAGCCTGCCCTACGATTCCCTGTACAAGAAGACGGGGGATCTGCAGGGAGGACCAGGAGCACGGCTGCCGGGGCCGGCGTGATAGGCTGGGAGGCCCCTGTGGGGGGAGGCGGTGGCTGAGCACACCCGTAACCTCTGTGACGGAGCTCCGCTACATGCCAAGGTGGCTATCAGAAAGTTTAAGTGTTTTTAAAACTTTCTAATATAATATTCTAATACACATGAATATGCCTTTTAGGTATCAATTTATTTAAATGGCTGACTTTGTGATTAAACAAAGGGATGAATCCAGCAGTTTCTAAGGGCTCTGATGACTACGAAGCAAGGTAAGCAAACACTTCTTCACCCAGGCTTACACCCGTCCCAGCAGTTACAGCACACGCGGTGCCCGCCGAGACTGCCCCAGGCCGAGGGCACAGGGAGGACTCCTCCTCGGCACTGCAGACAGACTCGTGGGCCGCAAGTGCCCAGTGTCACCCAAACTGACCTGCAGGAACTTAACAACCATGGAGTCAGAGAGGGGCTGAAATCCTGAAATCCAGCCTTCCTAAGCTAGAAAAGGACTCACATTGTACAACAGTGAAGACCCCACCTGGGTTGTTGAGCTATTTAAGAATTTACTACAAATCAGGAACACAGCCCAATCGCACAATTTAATTTCTGAGATGGAAGGGGTCCTAACAGCAGGGGTTCACATTTGCTAGAAGAGGGAATTGGAGTGACTGGGGAGAAGTGGGAGTTGGGGACTGTCTTGAGATTCAGTATGTGAAGCAAGCAGGCTGTTCTTATTTGGACTGTGAGTTTACTGGGGGTGAAAGTCAGGGAGCTGATGGGCATCAAGAGGGTGGCGGTAAAGGATTCTCTGAGACCACCCGCTGTGCCACCACCGGGTTCTAGGAAGAATGTAAACCCACGTGAATAAGCACCAGTCGTTAGAAAGGAGATGGCAGAGGCAAGTCTGAGTCGATCAGTCAAAGCGGATCCCTCTCTAAGCCAGTTTTTGGTGATGCTGTTTTTTAATGCAGCTGGTATAAATATATTTAAAACATTCCTTCTCTTATCTTCGGGAACTTTATACAGATTTTAGGTTTACAAACTTCTCCCAAAATTCTCAATGCATTCCTGCAAATAGATTTCATTTCAACTCTCCAACGACGTATGAAAAGAACATTAGACCTGGAGGGAGGATTCAAGGGCTCCAACAATCCTCACTACGTCACCAACTTAGTCCATTACTCTAGGTCACTCACTGGGCTTCCAGACGTCCACGACCTCACCTGTGAGCTACGGATCGGCTCCACCCTTCTTCGATACCATAAAGGATCTCACTCCCTGCTGCCGAAGCCCTTGCAATATGGATACAAATAACATTTGTATACATTTTTAATGTTTGGATGCTTACACTGTATGTATTCTTATTGACATACATTTATATGGTTTCTGCCTCAAACATTTGCTTAGACTTTTAAGGTAAGACTATATTTAAAAAAATAAACTTAGAGATCACTTAACTGTCTAGTCGAGTTAGTGGTCTACGCGTTTGGTAACTGCATGAGTCATAGCCATATATAAAGTAGATTCTTTATGTTGCAGTTCAACAGATTTAGTCTTTCCATCATCAGAAAGGACGGGACAATGAAAATCCTCAATGAGCATCAATACACCAATATGTTCACAGTAATGCAGTTAATGGCAAATACGGACTACGACCGACTCAGTGATAGCAGTCTTTAATCAATGCTGGTTTTCCTTGTCTCTTTAGGCTAATAATTCTACCCTCCAGCTTTAAACATTTTGGATATGTTACTAAGAACTTCAGAATCATTCTCATGTCTTTAAATCCAGGAAGTTCCCCCTTCTCCCTACAAACATTTAAAAAATATAAAGTGGGAGCAGGGGGAGGTGATTCAGGCAGAAAATAACTATTTCTAAGTAAATTTGCAGATGCCATAAAACTTATGTTGTTAGTTTTGCCATGCCATGTAACTAATTTCTTTTTTAAAAAACACCTAAAGTCCAGACACTGAAACACCACAGGACTGCTTGGCATGCAGGCGGCAGGTCCAGGGATGCGGAGTCCTGTCGCATGCCTGTTATCGGCTCCATGCCTGTTACCGTCACTGCCTGTGTTTGTGTCTGGTCCGCTGGGGCACGGAGCTGGTCGTCCCTGCCCTAGGTGTATCATAGTCACGTAGTTCATGTCTCCTAAACACAGGATTTTACAGCTTCTTCTAAACTTGAATAAATAATAATATGATGCAAACACACAAACTATATATCATTGTCATTGGGTAAAATAAGACTTTGTGAGAGAGTGTTATTCCTTAGGACCATCCATAACATAAAGGTACGTGACAGGGACATCTTGAAGTAGCCTGGACAAGTGCAGAAATAATTAGATAACTTAAGGATCATGAGTAAGATGGGAGCAAGGGGACACCTGTGAGTCCTTCTTTATGTCACAATGTGGAGATACACACAGAATTTCGTAAAAGACTCATGTAACTCCTGTGTCTACAAATCAGATAGTATTTTATGTAAACTAGTACTTGATCATTAAAGCCATTCTGTATCAAAATGTTAATTGGTCAGAATTACGATATATGATTTCCTTACTGAGAAAATCAGATCATCACATTTAGCATCTGTTCGAAACGTGTCCGGGTACAAACTTCCTTGATATGGTCCATCGGATTCCAGACAGCGTCATGAGAATCACTACCACCTGCAATGAGCTACTCCAGGCCGGGAAACAGGCCTGTGGGTGGAATCCGGCCTCGTGCTGTCTGGTGAGTGGTCTTACTGGGACCCAGGCAGGCACTCATCTGTGCCGTCTGGGCCGCTCGCTTCCTGCGACGGGAGCGCCGAGGCCGCGGAGCCCGTCTGGGCAGCGAAGCCTCATGTTCCCTGACTCTGCAGAATGTCTGCCGCTCCCGGAGCTCTTCTGAAGGTCTCACCGGGAAGGAACTTCGGGAAGTACGGTCACTCTTACCAATGAAAATATAGGACTTTTAAAAATGCAATTAAAGCCCTGGCCGGTTTGGCTCAGCGGTTGGAGCGTTGGCCTGCGGACCAGAGAGTCCCGGGTTCGGTTCCCGCTAGGGGCACGTACCAAAAAAAAAAAAAAATGCAATTAAACAAAAGGTTATATTATATTATATTAAAATGCTCCAGATATTTAAACCCACCAAAAAGTTAGGCCCCACATCAAATCAAACATTTTCCTCCAATAAAGTCTTATTTATTATACAAGTTTCTTTATAATACATCACAGGATTTAGACTATAATCATGAAACTTATTTTAAAATATCACTTGCAAAATGACTTGACTTTTTAATCAGATGTTTAACATTACCCAACAGATACGCAGAAAACAGAAACTGTTACTGGTCGACGATACTTAATCAGAGTGGTCAGGCAAACATTTCTTTACATGGAAAACTCGGATGTAAAGGAACTACATACATCTCAGTGAGTGGAACATCCTCGCAGGTGCAGGAAGCTACATTCTTCAACAGAATGCTCCCCCCCCCCCAACTACATCTCCTGTTTTCCAAACTGTGTATCTTTGTAATTACTTTGTTGGTCCCTACAGTCTCTGCAAAAACAAATCTGGGTGTTTTTTTACCTTGAGATCACGGTACACAATCTTCCCGGAATGCAGGTAGTCCAAGGCAGAGACGATTTCTGCACCATAGAAACGTGTGCGGTCCTCCGAGAACACCCGCTCTCTCGACAAATGGAAAAACAGCTGCAGGGTAAACAGCGGGGACAGGATTGTAATAATTACTGATTTAGTGGGGAAATTAACACAAACATAAAACACCTCTCATCACCATATTGTGGTGATAGATAGCATACTCTCAGTGGACACTGAGCTCTCTTAGACAGCAGCTGGCTTATCTTTCCCAGGTTTCCAAGGGGAGATTGCGAGCTGTTAAATCAGCGTTTTAATCAATACACCAATCTTGTTGAAGGCATTCTGCTTGCTACTCACTTAACCTTCAGTTACCGGAGGAGAAAGTACGCCTCGTCGGATTGCCTTGCCCCTCGCGGTACTGGGCTGCACTCTCCCAGAGAGTAGGTGCTGAGACATTATTAAAATAAATGCACGCAAGCTTAGATGTAATATTTCTATTTAATTATCTGATTTACATTTGATTTCAAAGAAGGGATTGCTGATTTGCTTAAGCTGACTGGTGTGAACGTGGTCTATTCTGCATCTGTTGATTCATCACGCTATCTCTAGAAATGTTTTCAAAGTCTGAATCTATGTTTTCTACGGTGAGAAATGGAAAGGCTTTTAGTAATGTCCACAATGGTCTGAGAAGCTCCCATTATTCCCCTTACAATTCTCAATGTCTATCCGTTCTATTTTCCAAATAAACTACACCACCCATCTTTTCTCATATAACCACGTAAACCATGAGCCTAGCCATTTAGTCAATCACCACTCGACAGTTGACAAATATTGATCGGGTGCTCACTCTGGCCAAGCATCCTGCCCTCCACTCGGTCAGCTCTCTGTAAGAAACTGCCTAGCTCATCTGTTAGCTCGACAATATATGAGGAGCAGGCTTCGGGCACTACTGACCTCTGTTGTCCTATTTCAAATCCTGTTTCTATATTAAGAAACCCCCAAGAACCATGAGCGATTCACGGCAGATACTCAACATGTGTCTGTCAGAATGAGCCAAGCAGTCCAGGTATTCTTGACTTGCAAGATCAGAAATCAACTCTACCTTCATGTGGATTAATGACTTTCAGCTTCTACACATTTATAACACTTATCGTTAACAACATCTGTTCCTCACACACCAGATCATAACTTAGGTAACACACGGGCAGTTTCCTACAGATTCCGTCCTTTCTCCACCCCAACCTCCACTTAGGAGTCTATCATTATTTTGACATCAACTTTATGCACAGCCCATTGTCATAATAAAGAGAAACAGGCAAGATCATGCACCTATTGCCAAAAAAGACTGGCTCAACATTAATTACAGCAAAACTAAAATATTAGGCAGACAGTCTCTAAACTTTAATGCTCTCCATTATTTTGGCATATTTTATCAAATCTAAGATGCTACTGACTGGGGATCCATCACTGTTCTAAGTAAGAAAAACAAGGTCAGTTAAATCTACGACATGTTAAATGTGCCTGACAAAGGATCAAATATACTATGCCAAAAATCAAACCAATGTGTATAATTACTCAGGGAGCATTTTCAAAATTCATTCATTCATATATATATATATATATATATATATATATAAATATATATATAAATATATATATATATATATATAGAGAGAGAGAGAGAGAGAGAATGCATACATGCAGGCATATGTGTGTGTGTGTGTGTGTGTGTGTGTGTGTGTGTATTAGCCTTCAAAGAAGGACAGGGAGTAGAAAGAAACATAGAACATCAGTAAAATCATTCTGAATAACTTCTGGGTCAAAATAACTTCTGCCATGCCTTATACAAAACACTGCTAGCTCTGATGAAGGAAACCTTGTGACCTCTATATAGATTTGTAGATTTATAATAGTGTTCTAATAGTAGCAGTTAAATTTATAAATTTTCTTAAAATAATGTCAAGCCTACTACCCACTCATGCACTGTGCAAAAGATATGGATGCTCCTTCAGTTGATATAATACATGCAGGATTCTAGATCTTTATTTAGACCATATATCTTCAATTTGTCTCCTAGCCAATTTCTATAAAAATATATGCTAAAAAATTACACTTAAGGAGGATTCTATTTATTTCTCAATCTGCTGTCCTCTGATGTCTGCCCTTGATACTTCATGGAACTTATTCTTATTAAGATAACCAAGAATCTCTGAATGGCCAGATTCAATTGTTTACAGTCTACAGCTCTTTCTGTTCTGGAGCTTACTACATCACCTGTTACCCTCTCCTTCCTGAAACACATTTTTGGCTTTGGTAATACAATTCACTCCTGATTTTCTACCTAAGTCATTGGATATCTCTTGATTTTGAACCAACTTTGCATTTAGTGATCATCAATTATTTTAAAGTCGCTATGTTGAACACAGGGAAGAGAAAAAACAAACAAAAAACATACACAATGATTAGGACAATCCCTGACCTCAAAGTATTCAACTTAAAGAAGGAGATACATGCATAGATAGAAAACAAGACAGCTCTGATAACTTTTCTAACTCGGTTTAAAATGCTTTGGAGGCAAAGAGTGATTAATCTTTACTGAGATGATCCAAGGAGACTTCACAAATAAGAATGGGATTTTTCACAAATGGAGAATATAAGGGAAACCTACAAAAGACTGCTATTCAAGTTGTATCCATCTTTATATTTCTAACACAGCCTAGTACAGTACCTGCACATACCAGGTAACTAATACATGTCTGTGAAAGAACTAATTCTAAAGAAGAAAAACAGCAATGGTAAGAAAACACACCCATGGAACACACGTAGCTGAAGAATAGTAAAATTCAGGGCAATGATAGGGCTTAAATAAGTAAAAAAGATGAGGCCACATTGTTGAGGACCTTGACTGCCAAGATACGGGGTTGAGATTTATTCTGAGAGGAGGAGGGTCAAGAGTTTTGGATCAAAACAATGAGCATAATTTTAAAAAAACCCAAAACTCTGGCAGCATTAGAGAATCAATTAAAAAGATCTGAGGCTACAGTCGGGCAAACAATGCCTGAAGTCCAACAAAAACATTACTGAGCACCTACTAGGGCAGCTGTTGTGCAAAGCAGACACTGAGACATGGTAGCAACCCGCAAGGACATTGTGACTTGGTTAGAACAGCCGGATACATAAAGAATTCCACTAAAAATACGGTTGTTATAAAAGACAGAACACATTTAAATAAGTGAAGGAGCATCTTTGACGCTATCAGAAGTTACACACGAGCTGAACAGGAGCTTCTGAGGGACCTCAGCTAGAGTGATGGTCGCAGGCATTTCCAGGGAGCCCAAGGTCCCGAGGGAACTTGCTTGCACCACTGGGGTCAAGGGAGAAGTCTAGAATGTGGGAGTTTCCCTGGAGGGTTGAGTGGATGTTGCAGCCACAGGTGATGAGGGAAAAAAATGGGGACGGGAACAGAGGGGCAATGGATTTTCTTTGACCTATTACCGTGTAAATAAGCATTTGATACCGCAGCTTTGAAATGATGGGCCCCAAGGTACAGAGGCAGGGTGGGAGTCATTTATATAACGTACTGTAAAAGCCCAGGAAGCAGGGGGTAGCCCAAGAATTCAGCAAAAACTGAAAACAGATTTTAGCTTGGAATCTTAGGGTGTCGCTGCACATAAGGACAGGAAAGAGATGGAGTCCTAGGAGAAATATAAAAGGAAAGAAGAACGCATCTGAAGAATGAAGGAGAAGGAAAAAGTAAGTTTCAGGAAAAAAGTAACGATTACCAGGCATAGGAATTAGGCCCTTTGTTACCTTTCAGGGAAGAGCTGCCCTGCTTACACGAGCTCAGAAGAGGATGAAAGGTGGAATGTTACGTGCCTCCTTCAGGAAAAATGAATGAGGTGAGCCAAGATACTGCTGCAACAGAAGACTGCTGCTGCGCCACATGAAATGACAATACTTTTGTTTTTTTTTAATCCTCACCCGAGGATATTTTGCCATTTTTTGTACAGATAGAGTGGGAGGGAGAGAGAGGAAGGGAGAGAGAGAGAGAAACATCGATGTGAAGGGACACATCGAGTGGCTGCCACCCGCACGACCAACCAGGGCCGGGGACAGACTGCAACCGAAGTACGTGCCCTTAGCGGGAACCGAACCCGGGTCTCTCCGGACCGCAGGCCGACGCTCTAACCGCTGAGCCAAACTGGCCAGGGCGAAATGACAATACTTTTAGGAAAACTTTTCCCTGAAGGGACTGAGAGATGCTATAAGGCTACAATTCACATGGCACGGGCGCACAGATTAAACGATCAATCAAATCAGACAGCCAGAAACAGGTTATTTTGTGAAAATTTAATATATGATAACATTGATGATGACAATGTGACCAAGTATATGAGAAAAATATGACTATTTAATAAATGGTGCCATATAGTTGGTCAAATTTGGAGAAAAGTAAAACTTAATTTTCATCATAAAAAAACACATTTCAGATAGTTCAATATAAAACATGATGCTATTTTTTAAAACTCGAAAATATGAATCAATAGTTATCTGATCTCAGGATGAAAGATATTCTAAGCAGAAAAGAAAGGAAGCAAATCTTAAAAGGAAAAAAAGGAAACACTGGTAGAATTAACTACATGAAATAGTAACAATATAAATAAAATTGAATATTTGTAGCAAATATGACAATGCAAATGTCCACCACCAGCAGACAGGTAAGCAAACGGTGGTGGAGCCAAGCCCTGCCTATGGATGGTGACTCAGCAAGAAAAGGAGCAAACTACTGAGAAACACAACAAAATGCACAGTCTCCGAAACATCAGACCGAAGAAAGCAGCAGACACAGAAGAGTGCACAGTGTCTGCCTCCATTCCTGAGAAATTTCAGACACGGTGAAGCGAGTCTTGAGGGTCAGCGCACAGACACCACAGGCTCCTGTGGATGCCAAGCAGGTGAGGGAACAGTCCAGCAAAGACTGACGGCAGAGGCACTCCAGAACTTTCCGAGCCAATGAACACGTTCTCTGTCTTTCCTGTAATGAGGACTCCATGAATGTGTTTGTCAGAGGTCTCGTAACAGTGTCAAGTGAGTCCATCTTATTGTATGTA